CAACGGGGGGGGGGGGGGGGGGGGGCACCGAGGGGAAATGTTTTTCTTGGTAAAATGTTTGTTGGCAAAATGGTGATCATCCAACCATCAAAAACATTTTTACCCGACCTCGAATATATATATATATATATATATATATCGACCGCAAATATCAATTAAAAACTAAATACCCACCCCTGGCTAAAAACATTACAAAAGAATACCGTTAAGTTGTCACACATATCCCTTGACCACTTCTGTGACAAGTTTGATAACCGCTTGTTCAATTTTTCATGTTGTCTGCACATGCACTTTCTTTGGAGATACCATTTGCTTCCTGACAAATCGGAAAATGATCAAGATAGTGACTCGGATTGAACATATATTGTATTGACATATGACTGTTGACACTGATTTTTAGTCTTTAGATTTCTAGTCGAGTGAGTCATGCTTTGGAAATGACAATAAAGTTCATTTATCCAACATTTTACTCACTCAAAATTTTGTTTATCCAACCCTTTTCTCTTCAGTGCCACCCATAAACAATGACCAACCCCTTAATTCGCTGGCAGTCGTGTCCAGCCTCTGAGTGTTCTCTAGTTTATGTTGTTTTCGTCGCAACACGCCAAGAGTTTACGTTCTCTTATTTCATAGAAACATCTAAATGATGAAGATTTTCGCGAGATTTTTAAGATGACGCGAAATGAGTTTTATGAATTGCCAAAATGGAAACAGATTGATCACAAGAAGAAAGCTAAGTTGTTTTGATTCATTTTCTTCAGACTTTGTTCTTAGTATAGATTGATGCCTTTGGCTTTGTGACTTAATATTAATATAGCATTAGATATAATTTGTCAATTACGCACCCTATATACTGTACCTTATGACGCATTTGTAAACAGAATGTATACAATCATATGTGTATTAAAATGAGAAGTAGACCATTTAAGTGTGAATAAAAGTTCTGTAAAACGTTTAATACATATTGGGCCGTTGTGCCGATCTACCGTTTCAAAGTTTACGTCAATATCCGATTGCAAAGGGCCTGTTGTAACGTTGCTGGACGTAAGTTGTTGTTGTTGTTGTTGTTGTTGTTGTTGTTGTTGTTGTTGTTGTTGTTGTTGTTGTCAGACCTGGAAAAAGTGTTCAATGTTCCTGGGATCCTGAATTTGCCTTTTTCAAATGTTCCTCAAATAATCAAATTCGGCTCAAAGTGCGTAAAAACAATGAAAAATTTGACCGTGCGTTACGTGTATCAGTGTAACAATAAAGTTTATTTGACTGTATATTGTTTTGACTTAGGCTCCATTTCCAGCTGGAACTCAATTATATTGGTTGTAAAATTGCTGAGGAAACAAAACAATCTTCAAATTATATTAACAGGATATGAAGAACACTTCGCAATCTCAAAATAGACTCAAATGGCAGATAACTAAATACGATTCCTTAAAATTTTCCCTTAAAGTACGCGTGATAAATTCAAAATGTTCCTCAATCTTGTTGCTAAGGCAAATATTCCTCAGAATCCCGAGATCCCACTTTTTTCCAGGTCTGGTTGTTGTCGTTCTGTTGTTTAAATTTTTTTTTATTTTTTCGCAGTCGATCGTTGTTAATTCTGCAACATATTTCTGTTGTTATTTCAAGTGCAATTCGGGGAAAACATGCACGAGTCAACGTGTGCAATTTGAAGTTTTTCAAACACTCGCGAGTATATGTTTCTCTCGCTTGAGGTTAATTTGTTCACGGCAATCCGGTTTATTGTAATATCAGTGAATGCAATTCGAAGGCCATTTTTACTGCAACTTGCAACACAATTTCTGGCAGAGTAATATATTATCTTCAAACACTCATTAAAGTGTTTATGAAACGAAATTTTTGCCTCATTTTTTATTGTCTTATTAAAAGGTACTGCTTAAATGATGAAGAATAACGTTTATAGTTTGTTCGTATCTCATTCCCAAGTTATCGCACTTTCTATATTTTGAGTTGTGACGTCACTAGTTTGAGTCAAAATAGTGGCAATAACAAGAAAATCTGATATCTTGATGATCATTTAATAAAATTCAATGAAACTTGGCACACTTAGTGGGTGCAACGAAGTGAACAATTTGGCTTGTTTATATGGTTGTTATGGCAACACACTCGTCCCCAGTCCCTTCTCTTCCAATTTCTATATGATCCATTTCCGACGAAATAAATAATTTCTGCAATTGTCGCTTATTACTATAATTGTCGCTTATTACAAAAAAATTTCGGTCAGTGTACCATTTTAGGGGTAAAAAATATTTTCCGGAGTAAAAAATTTTTCTGGACGAGTACGTTGCTATTGCTTTCCAGGGACTTTATCTCATTTTTTTATGCCAAATTTCGGCACTTAGCCCAAGAAAACAGATATCCTGTCCTTTGCGCGGAAATATTTAACACACAAAAAAGACTGGGGCCCAACAAAAAATTTTCAGGGGCCCCCAGCACCTCGGGGTAATCCCCCCCCTCTCGGCGGCCCTGGACTGGGGACTAGTGTGTTGCTATGACCTGCCAAAAATATTCATATGGGTGCACCCATTAAGTGTACCGAGTTTCATTGAATTTTATTAAATACTCACTAAGATATCAGACTTTCTTGTTATTGCCATTATCTCAAGTCAAATTAGTGACGTCACAACTCGAATTAAGAAAGTGCGATAACTTGAGAATGAGATGAAATATGAAGAAACTGTAAACGTCATTCTTCATCACTCCAGCAGTACCTTTTAATAAAACAATAAAAAATAAGGTGAAAATTTCGTTTCATAATACTTTAATAATTCATAAGCTTATTGGCAAATCATGTCAACCATAATATATCACGTGAAGTGGCTTTATACTGTACCTGATAAAACTCATCTTCATTAATATTCCTTATATAAAAGTCCATCCTAAATAGTATTCTTTATATAAAGAATACTAATGAAACGGCATCTATTGTAGTCGTGTTTGAAGTTATTCAAAACACTTGCAGTCGTGTTTTATCAATCTAAAATGCTCGTGCATGCTGCGCACTCGCATTTTAAATATCATAAAACACTCCTACGCGTATTTTAAATAGTACTTTAAACGCAATTTTAGAGAAATTGAGAACTAAGCTTTCCTCACGTGACATACCATCAGGCCTCAAAATAAATTTGAAAGGTACACCGGTCATCATGAAGGATGGATTATTAAATTCACCGGTCACAACGGCTTTTTTGCGGCCAATGCCTATTTGAAGTGTACAGTCCGTGTACTTGTGTACTATAGGTATGATTACAGCTCATTATTTCGTAAAAAATAGCTTCTTTTACTAATGTAAAACAATACTGCAAAGTTAAACGTCTTATTGTTATCGCACAGGTATGACAATCGTATAGGACAACAAACAGTTTGTGAAATTGAAGATATTACACCATTCCCTCTGCAGCAGCCAAATTATATAAAAAGTTCTCCATGGCCGAGGTCAATTTTCGTTCTCTCAATTTTTCCAGTTTTATAACGTGACGAGTGTTATCTTCGTTTGCCACAGCTAGACCTTTCAAGTTGTTGATCAAACTTTGAGTTTTGTCTGACAACTCCTAGTATACAAGTAGTAAATGGGTTAAAAACCATGCTGTGCTGACTGCTGAGCGATGTGGTTTTATGCAGCCGTTATGATAAAACAGGAATGTGTAATTTGATATTATTTATCCGGTTGAGGGACCAAAATTCAAGTTATTTTGATAAATTTATCTAAACTGAAGATTCGGCGTAAATGAGGACGACCATGCATTACAATTGTATAAGTATACCTATACAGATATATAAGTATATCTATACAGATCGGCTGCTCGTGTTTTATCTAACGCATATAATATCGCCACTCCTGTTGCACAAGTGCGAAAAACTTGGGAAGAAAACAGAGAAAAACTGTTTTCAAAAACTTTGAACTTTTTCATGTTTCAATCCGACTAAATCACATCGCTCAGCAGGTTACACTGTGCCTTTATCAGAAAGTAGAACATGTGCGTAGGAAATGTAAAATATAGGTACTGTATGACTGTATAAAGTTTGGTAGGAAGTAATCTGATCTATAAGGACCAAATAAGACACCTTTTTGAATTCAATGATAGCAGCCATGCAGTATGCTTACCGTAACCAGTTGTTCGTCGCTTTTTTCTTCTTCTTTTGCATTATTCACCATAAACATTGCCATATCCTTGTGGACTTTGCCCATTTGAAACGTGTCTGAATGATCAAGTTACAGTAGTAACTGTCAGGTCAACTGATTAAGGCCTCCGTTACACCTGTGGTTACACGATATCGGATTCGCATCGGAGCTACATCAAATTTTACAGTTTCAAGGGGAGTTTACGCACTCACAATTATGATAATATAACAGAATTAGTAAAAAACTTGAAATATGAAAAGTTGTAAGAGGCCGAAAAGCGTCTTAGTTGGTGTCGCTCGACTCGCTCCGATGCGAATCCGGTATCGTGTAACTTGGGCCTTAATTAACATAATGCAAAAGTATAGGATGGACAACGATCACGTGTGTTCAGTGGGATATAGATTCCCGATAATTAGTTTCGGGGAGTTTATATCCAACTGAAAACACGTGATCATTGTCTATCCGACTTGAAGATGATCACATCCACGAAGAATTATTTCTTTATAATTTGTGAAGTATTTCTTATTATATGTTTTTATCGATTAATACTTGCAGTGAGTTTATTAAACTGATTGTACGCTCCATATATCAGTGAAGCATATACTAATCAGTTTTATTTATATTTATTGAAAATAATTCAAGAGTTTTGATTGGCTAAGAGCTGTCGGTAAAATCGTCATATCTGCTCACTAGCTGTCCAAATTTGGAGTTGTATATTGAAAACCGTGAAAGATTGAAAACAAATATACCACGTTTGACATAATTTCGTGGTATATTGAAAAACGATGTAACACGTTATGACGTCACGCAAATATATGGGGCTTATGCCAAAAGCGGGAAAATACAAAAGGCTTCCTCAAATAAATAATAAAACAATTATTGAATTCGATTCAAGCAGGATATGAGGAATTATTAAGGCATTGGTTTGTGTTAAACTCAAACCTCGGCCTTGATAATTCCTCCTCCTACTCGACCTCATTCGATAATTGTTTAAAATAGACCCACCGTAATTGCTATGAAGCTCGCTGTAAGACAGTTTATGGGATATAGACCGCTCAAATTCTGAGTGGGTGTGATCATGTTCTAATGATACAGTGGGTTGTATATAGAGTGTAGATTTTATTTTGTCACCTACCTTTTGCGTGCGGAGCGATCGATACTTCACCATCAGAAACTAGTAAAACAATAAATCTCTCACAGCTTGTCAACAATTAAGATGTGTTTGCACTGCTTGTTCCCGGCTGTTGACTTGACAAGTCTGGAACAAGTGGTAAGGTTGACGAAGCCAACAGACTCGCAACAAGTTGTTCAACAAGACTGATATCCTCTGCATGTAACAAGTAGTTAACAAATTGATGACAACAAGCCCATAGCAACTTGTTTACGAACAGCTTGTGTTAGTCCTGTTGGAAAAATTTTGAGTAATTGTTCCCGCCATTAAAGGGCATATGACTCGATAATTGATGGTGTTATTTTTTAGTCTAATTTGAAAGATATTAAAAACTGTAGAGTAACTTCTTTGACAGATTGTGTATGATATACAAAGGACCAACTTAGTTTCTACGTCACACATGCATGACTTACTTTAAAATGTTATATAATTTTTTCACTATCAAATAAATTCATTCAAAATTAATGATGAACACGAGATTTGTCCACAACAACACCCATTTTTTAGATATACAACTTTTAGGGCTGAATCATTGTGCATATGTGTTGGTTCTTTGTATATCATGCAAAATGAAATATCTTCAAAACGAAGCAAGAAAACAAAAATCTATCAAAGAGGTTACTCTACAGTTTTCAATGATCTTTCAAATTGGACTAAAAAATAACACCGTCAATTTTCGAGTCATATGCCCTTTAACCTTGTAACAAGGTGACAACTTGTTTCAGACTTGTCGTAACAACTGGGAACAAGCAGTGCGAATATATCCTGATATCGGTTTGATACTTTGACAACAACCAAGTCCAAGAACCAAAAAAGTGGTACGGGTACCAATTTTATCCGTGGCGTACCAAAAATTGAGCGTAGTGTAAACGGGGCTTTAGAACTTTTAAAGGACATTGGCAGTAAAAATTTAGTTTGCCTCATTTGAAAGAGCTTTAAAAATAGTGAACAAAGAGTTTATACTGCTTTTTCATATCTTGCTTGATTCCTGAAATATTTTGACTGAAAACAGTGAGATGTCCGCCATCTTGGATTATTCAGGACATACATGTTACGTCATAAGTAGGGTCACATTTACCATTTCTAATTTCAAATTGTATACAAACATTTTGAACAACTTTTGATCTTTACTCGGTCACTTAGAGGTAATTTTTCTTTGTCTTTTCTAATTAGTTCCACCCAAGAAATCACAAGAGAAAGAAAAATTCCGCTCCTCGCGCAAAATTCCGCCCAGTGGAAAACCGGCTTAAATGAGGTTAAGAATTAATCCAAGATGGCGGACAGACAGCTCATTGTTGGAAGAAGTTATTTTGTGACCTCAGAATGACATTTCATCAAAACTTTTTTCTTTAAGATTGGTTTAGAAACAAACTGCTTGGAGTAGGGTTAGGGTTAGAGTTGGTGTTTGGAATAGGGTTAGTGTTAGTAAAACCGTTTCTTTGTTACGTTTTGTCACTCTGAGGCCAGCGAAATAACCTCTTCCCTCATTGTTTTCAGTCAAAATATTCTAATAGTTAAGCTTTATATAAAAAGTCAGCAACAAGATTTAACACCCAATCTTAAACGTTCTTTAAAATGAGACACCAATGTAATGATGGTACCGTGCACTCTTCTCGTTTTCAAATATTTCTCGTTGGACCAAGAAAACAAATACAGTTACTTACTATTTGCAAATATATCATAAAGCTCATTGCGATTCTCAACAGATGCGTCAGTAAAACCAGCAATATAATATCTTGTCGAGGTCAAATTTTGAATATCTGTTTCGTCATTTGAATCAATTAATGGATGTAAAATATTCCAGTTCTGACGATGCCACACCAGTTGAGGGATTGCTCTTAAAACACAAAACATAAAAGAGTAATTTATCCGAATAGAGGCTAACGGTTGTTTATAGTACGCATTGCATAACTACATAATAGTATGTTTCATTGTCTTCGTAGTTCTGAAGTAGGACATGAGTGATGATAGTATATGTACCCTGACCGATAACTTTAATCCTAGTTTAAATTGTCCAAATATTTAGAAGCATTACATTACTATAACATTTGGAGTTATTTGGTCTACATATCATTCAGTCCATTCAAAATTTGCTCTCAAAAACAAAAAAATCACGTCGCGTTGTCGAATCGCGTCCGGTGTGTATGGACCCAGCCTCGTACCCAGGCGCAATTAACTAAAAATAGGCACACTACAGTACTCCCCGCGCGCTCGAGCCACTGATCTATATAAAAACACTGTAGTGTGCCCATTTTTAGCGCCTGGGTACGAGGCTGGTATGGACCTTAAAGGTCCACACAGACCGAACGCGATTCGACAACGCGACGCGAATTTTCAGTTTTTAAAAACAAATAAAACCGTCAACCGATAAAACTTTTACAAGATATGCAGACCAAATAGCTAAAATTGCTTAAGTTAAATGGTTCCGAATATTTGAAAAACATAGAAAAATATAATTAAAGTTAAATGTCATTGAAAATTCGCGTCGAGTTGCCAAATCGCGTCCGGTCTGTATGGGTCTTAAAGGCTGAGACACATCGGACGCGATTCGCCGCCGCCGCGCGATTTTTCGATTTTCACTGACCGATAACTTTGATCCTGGTTCAAGTTTTTCAAATATTTAGAAGCGCTATAACATTTTGAGTTATTTGGTCTACGTATAATTTAAAATTTCTTTAATTAAAATGGCTGTTCAAAATCGCGCCGTGTTGTCGAATCGCGTCCGGTGTGTCTCGGCCTTAAAACTCTGAACGGGCGTTCAGGGAAACCCCAGCCTAGATGTAGGCCTTCTATTCTAATTTCAGCGCTTTTTCACATGAGAAGACTTGCACCTAGGCAACGTAGGGGCTGACCGAATGAAAGGCGAAGCGGCTCCTTGTTCGCATGTGACGTCATACTTACCAAATGCTAGCCCAAACTTGCCAAAGCCAGCCGAATAGATCTAGGCTGAATCAATTCATTTTTGATAACTCACATGCCTATTTACTATATTGTTCTGATTTACATAAGCAGAGAATAGAAAAAAAAGGTAAATAAGGTTTAGAATATACCCTTCCAAGATTAAGAATGCCATAATGAAACGCAATAGTGCAAAGGGGTGCAAACACAAAGGAATTCCCTATAGGGCATGCCTAGTTACTATAATTGTTCTAGCTAATTGGAGAAATAAAAACAGATGAGAGTTCACCTCAACACATTTGTAGATGATAGGCCCTTCCAAGGTTGAGGACGCCATCTTGAATCTGTTGTCACGCCATTGTGTTTGCACCCCTGCAAATTTACCTACAGGGAATTCCATTGTGTTTCTAGCCAAATTTGTCTATTATAAAGTCAGGTAATTTTGTCTATGAAATTATCAACCTCATACCTTGTGATATTCAATAATGTTTCAATTCGTGGACTATAAAATACAATTTTCTTTTTCAGTAGAACTGCTGTGTATATGAGGATTGTTTCAACACCAAATATATTGATTACATCTGAAAGTGATACACAGCAAATGACATAAAATAAGTTAAATCCTATCCAATGTACAATGTTTTCTGATATGCTCAGGCCATTACCTTTAATCGAAGCAGATAAAAACGCTTTCCTTGGTGCAAAATTACTGATATCAAATATTTCTTCTCCAGCAGTTTCGCACGATCCCTTTGTCATAACGGCAAGGTATTGCTGAAGAAGAACGGTTGGACTTCCTGTGTCCATATAACTCCGTCGAAATAATTCGCTGAGTTCTTCATATCTTTCTGGGTTGAAGTCCTGGGAGAATATTAAGTAAGGTTATTACCAGCTGGCATCTCCAACAATCTTGTGGACAGCCACTTTCTAATTTAAACGGCAATTTCTAATGGACGGTTACAAATAACTTAAGAAAATTTTTCTTAACACAGGATTTTGGGCATAATTGTACAGGGTGCGATACTTCAAGATTGTTAGTCGTACCTGACTGGTACGCCAATGGTTGTTGCCGCGTACTTGCGCTGTACAAACTCGGTACTCAATGTGTACTTAGTCATTAAAATAAGGTTCATAAAGTACAGGTTTATGAAAAGTATGTGCAGAGTATGAGGTAGAAAAAGAAGCACAATTGCATATACAAACAATCCACTCCAACGTTTCTTAGTGCCATATCAGTCCAATAATGTTTCATGCCAAGACATCTCAGTCTCTAACTAAATTACGATATTGAATACTCAAGGCTTCGAGAGGTCATGTGGTACCAACAAAAAGTAAGTACGCAGATAGCAAGAGTTCCGCGTACCTAAATGGTACGTGGCTGAAAACAAAGAAACTGCTAGTACCAGACCGTTATATTGGCGTACCTCCGGCACGTGGTGCAAGTACGCGAATTATCGCACCCTGCTTGAAATTGTAGATGCGTTTTGCTGACGGAAATTTCGAGTGTAAATTTGATACATTTATTAGACCTAACCAGGAGCAGTTGCAAAAAGTGCAACTATGAGCCCTCTGCATGGCACCATAGACAATCCAGAAGACAGGGACTGGAAACGCAAGCTAGAAATATGATGACAAATCGTGACATCCGTGATGTGCCTGTCACGTAGCAATTACTTGGTTACCACGGTAACAAGTCTTTAAATTTACATAAAAACAAAGGCAGATGCGTGTAGTTTATGCAAAATATATCGTAAAAAAAGCGTATTATCTGAATTTTGGGATCGTAGTCGTGGAGCGGCTATACTAACAAAGGTAGATACGTCCAAATTTTCATTTATTTCTATTTTATAGTGATGCTAAATGTGAAATTTGGTCGTGCTATCGGTAAATCGCGCACGCAGCAATTATTTCCAGAAAATACTGCCAAAACTAACCCTGTAACTACAAACTTAACCTGTTTTGTCTTTGACGATGAAGCCATTTGAAAAACTATTTTTTTACTTTATGGTCAAAGTATGTGTAATCATAAGATTGTAATCTATCGAATAGGCTATTTTTTATATCAATTTGGTAACTTATTCGCCCAATAATGTTTACTGAAAATTTGACGGCCCAAATTACTTTTGCGCCAACTGGAAGATGGCCATTTCTGTTGCCCCCACTTCGAACCCTATGTAACTATAGTTTAATTAAATAAAGTTCAGAGTTTGTAATTTACATATTTTGAACAAAAATAGACCTGTGAATGCACTTGTCCCGTTTTGAAACTTATATAGGGGCAAACAAAGCCAAAAACGTCCTTTGAATGCTTACGTAATGTTTTTGACTGTAAAATGTCGCCATTGCATGCCATTTGTTGTTGTCCGGAAAAGTTTGTACCGGCTAACTTCGAAACCTGCAACTACAGTTTAAATAAAGTTCAGGGTTTGCAATTTACATATTTAAAACAAATATAGACATGTGGATGCATTTCTCCGGTTTTTAAACTTATATTGGGTCAAACAAAGCAAAAACACCTTTTAATATTGCGTAATGTTTTTGACAGCAAAAAAGTCGTCATTGCCATTGGCATTCTTGTTGGCATTGTTGAAAGTTAAGAGTGTTAAACATACAAAACTCACCGTTAAAATAACTGAAACCTTGTTTTTATTTCTTTTAAATAATGGATGCCTTAGCAAAACTGGTTTTCGAGAAAGAAAGGATTTCTTGTCAATATTAAAAATGGAAGGTATATTAATTTAAAAACCGAAATTGCCAAATTCAAATTTTAAAATATAGATCAAGGAAAACTTCGAAAAGATAACTTCAATCAATTTATATAACGTAATTACAGTGAAGCAAAATTGAATAAATATACGTAAACTTAACTAAAGTAAACTAAAATACGCAAACAAACCTGAATCGTGTCTGAAAGTCCACCCCAAATTGGAAATCAAAATTTTCGAACAAGCTCGAAAATTCTCTGCACTCGTCTCTGAATATTAGCAGATCCGTTTTATAAACTTTACACACAATGTGATATACCTAACTCCCTTTTCGGTGTAGATTATTTAAACAATTTTCCAGTATATAAAGAGCTGTAAAACAGCAGACAAGTACCGGCCAACAATCTATCTCTTTATTTTTTTCGAAGCAACAGGCGCCATTCAGTAATTCACTCACATGGCATGATTGGCACAAGCGTCACGCAAGCACATCACGGACATAAGCCCGTTCTCCACTACGCGAATTTGTTCGCGCGACGCGAAGCGAAAACCGAAATCCGGCAACGTGATTGGTCGGCGAAAAAATTCGCGGCGAAAAAGTAGGATCGCTTCCTACTTTTTATCTGTTCGCGCGAATAAATTCGCCTAGTGGAGAACGGGCTTTAGAGATTATAAATAACACTAGAGGAGGCATCGAGTTTAAAAATTGGGAACGCAGCTAATGGGGGGCAAATTCAAGTCCCGGATATAAAATTGTGCTCTCATTGGCTGATTTGAAACTCGTCACCAATGGGAACACGAATACACATCCGGGACTTGAATTTGTCCCCCAATAGTCGCGTTCCCTTTTTTTTACTGAATTAAGATAACAATGCCTCCTCTAGTGTTATTTATAATCTCTATGATCACGGATGGCACGCGCAAAACATTAGGCGTTTCCAGTCCCTGTCTTCTGGATTGTCTATGATGGCAGGAATCGAACCTGCGGCCCTGCGATACCCGTGCAGCGCTCTAACCAACTGAGCTAAGAGGCCTGTTGTCGAGCTCGAACGCAAGTTCATGTACTCGATCATGTGTAGAACTGCACAGGTCACCCAATTCAGGCAATCACACATGACCTAGTATAAGTAGCAATATAATATGTATAGGGTTGGGCGATATTTCGATATTTTGCTTTATTGCGATATTTTCAATCGCGATTATCGTATCGAAGGTAGAAACTTGAGCGACGATATATCGAAATTATCGTCATGCTCGATGACTATCGTGATATTTTATATAATCCTAAAAATATAGTTTTTAAAAGGGTAAAACTATTTCCTGAATTAAATATGAATTTAATACGGTACAAAAGCTAATATTTATGTGTTAATCCGCTGAACAATGAAATTGCACGCTTTGCTTGCGCGGTGTGCCTTTATTGCATTTATCGCGATATTATCGAATATCGTGATAATTTCTTTGACAATAATCGTCAGATGATTTTTTTAATATCGCCCAACCCTAAATATGTATAGCTAGCTGCCTTTTGGTATTCCGGTTGTTTTGGAAGGATAATGGTCTAACGTAACGCCTGCGATAAATTAGTAATTAATGCAAATAAATGTAATATGTATAGAACGTACTCACCTTTGTCACAAGAACAACAGCGAAATGTGTAACCTGGATAAAATAAATATTAAAAATACATTTTAGAGCGCTAATAAAGGAAATGAAGTAACGTCGACAAGCTTGATTTATACTGCATAGCTCTATCTATCTATTCTTCCTAAGTAGCCCCTCGACCTATTGGTTCCAAGTTAGTGATGGTATTACAGGAGGAAAGTTCGTGGACAAAACTGTTAATAAGAATGATGGATCGAAATTTTGGAAAAAATGCATTCTACTAACTTCATGGCCTGCGAGCAGCCGTTCATTTGGGTTGGAGCTGGAAAAATAAACGCCTGTCCGCATGGCTTGTTATTTTGGGAGACTCGTTCACCCACGAACGAAGTTTCTGATCATTGGAGAATTATGGTCACAACATATCAACATATGATTGGCATTAAGTAGAGATCTGTACTTATTACTGTTTATTTATCTATATTTATAGATAAATGTAATCGAGTAAATGCGAAAAAGAGAACTCAAGTTTTGGGCCAATCTAATGGTATAATATTTTGGCTGTACAACATGTCAGGTTCAGTTAAGCTGCTAGTTTGCCTGAAGAGTTCAACCTCTCATTCTATTAACTGTGGTTCAACAAAGTGTTAGAAGTTCAGCTTACTGCTGTGGTAACATTCTTACTGCAGCGATAATACCCCAGATGACTGTGGTCCCAGGTTGACAATCTTGGCAAGATCTTACCAAGATCTAGCTTAACTTCTAAGGGACTGGTCATTATTTATGGTAGGGGGTGGCACCGAAGAGAAATGTTTTTCCTGGCAAAAATTTTGCTGACCCAACCATTAAAAAGTCAAAAATTTGATTACTCAACCTCAGATATCAATTTAAAAATAAATACCCACCCCTGGCCAAAACCTTTACAAAAGGATACCAAATGTCACACATGTCCTTTACCACTTCTGTGACACGAGTTTGATAACTGCTTGTGCAATTTTCTGCAGTCTAAAGTTTCATGTTTTCTGCACATGTACTTTCTTTGGAGACACCATTTATCTCCCAACAAATCGGAAAATGATCAAGAAAGTGACTCTGATTGATTCACATATTGTATTGACATATGACTATTAACATGCATTGCTTTTCAGTCTCCAATATTTAAGCGAGTCATGCTTTGGAAATGACAATAATTTTTTATTACCCAACCCTTGAGTTGTTTTGTTTTTTATTTACCCAACCTTTTACTTACTCAAAATTTAGTTTACCCAACCCTTTTCTCTTCCGCGCCACCCCCCGCCTTAAATAATGATCAGTCCCTAAGATCTTGCCACGATCACGCCATTTTCATTTATATTTATTTATTTATCTATTTATCTATTGTGCTTCGCTTCCAAACATCATACATTAGTATTTTTGCACAAGTGAACATAACAAATCCTACACGTTGATTGGTCAAATTTAACGTATTATTAAGCCATTGATTATATTCACCTGCAGGTGAAAATATCAAAACCGAAATGCCAATATCTTGTACAAATCCTGCAAGATATTTGCAATATCCTGCGAGAACTTGCCATGATCTTGTCATGATGACCTTGTCATGATCTTGCCATGATCTTGCCATGATCATGACAATTGATCTTGCAACAACAACAAAAATCCTCCAAGATCATGCGATGATCTTGCCACGATCTTGTTATGATCATGCCATGATCTTGTCATATAATCTTGCCATGATCATGACAACAAATCCTGCAGGATCTTTGCAAGATCCTGCAAGAACTTGCCACAATAATTACTGCAGCGATAATACCCCAGGTTACACTGCAATATTTTTACTGCAAGATTGAGGGCTGAGATTTACTTAGGTTTGGTAACTTCCCTGTGTTTGATAGACTTAATCATGTAAGTATAGTTTGGTTGGTTCTCTGCTGTGCACGCTTAGGGAAATTAATACAAAAGAGACGTTTGTTAAATTAATTGGGTTGTAAAACTTGTCAAGGGCTTTCCATCCACCCGTGAACGATGAGGCTTTCCCAGGGGTTTCAGGAAACAAGTTAGAGAACAAGGCATATTTTGTACGCCAAAAAAGTCATAGGGAACAAGGGGTTATATATATATTGTTATGTTACAGTCATAGGGATGCATGGGGTTGCGTTTGAGGTCAAGAACAAATAAAAATATATTGTTACAGTATCTGAAGTTCTTTGTTAATATATAATTGTATGTACGTTTTATATAATATATTATATTTTTCTTTGTTGTTGACCCAAATCACAATTAACCCTAACCCGGCCTAATGGCTGTAACATAGCAATATAACAAACCAAGGGAATATGTAAGCTAGCTCAGGGAACATGGTAAAATCTTGGTTGGAAACAAGGGAATGATTAGAAAAACATTTCAAATGAACACAGGAACAAAGCCCCCCCCCCCCCCCCCCCCCTCCTCCGCCCTTGGAAACCTTCAGTGGGAAATGTACACAAGTACTGTAAACTAACTCAAGGAAACTAAATCATAAATGGGCAAAATGACTAATCAATTAAGATTCTAACAATGAAGTCACACTTGAAGATCGACTATGTACAATAATTAGAGAAATTAACTAAAGGCCAACCTTTGGTAAACTTGGTGTGTCTTTAACACTTGTTGTCAACAAGTAATACCATAATCTGTTGTGTTGGCCATACATGAACGGAACAATTGTTTCATTGTCATTTTCCCCTGACTTTATACAACATTTCTTGGATATTAACAACTGTAGAGATGGATCGACAGCAGGAAATGACCAGGTCCATAAAACATCATGATTTGTGTCTTTTTCTATAAATATTACACTATATTGAAATGACGTTGTGGCCTAGCTAGTCTGTAATTAATTGATGTCTATATTGAAGATCTGTGTTTATTCTCCACAATTATGAATATTATCTTCCACGAATCAAAAAATTAATATTATGTGCACAACATATTATCACCATGCCAAAATACACTCTGCCCCAGTATATTAACCATTTAGTGGTCCATATACTATATAGCAATCATTTAATTGTGCCACAATCAGAAATGACCATGCAATTACCGGTACCAATTATTTGATCCATGCAACAATCTACCCGATACAGATTTTATAATGGCATCACTGCATCGTCCCCAGGCGCTATAAAATATTACATACGTATCATTAATACGAGGCACTATATAAAAGGTTTACATGAAGTAGTACGTCATGTTCGGTTTACATGAAGTAGTGCGCTTGTTCGTTATGATACACTACTTCATGTAAACCTTTTATATATAATGACTCGTATGTGAAATCTTTTTATAGTACCTGGGGACAAGACAGATGGCATCATATTGTCAGTCGACTGAGTAAATGTTAGACATCATTCATATTATTTCAATTTTTTAACTATAGTTTCCAACCATACATGCATGCATGTATGAACAACCATCAATGGCAAACAAAACAGATCATATTCCAATTGAACAGTAGTACATCTTGTGACAGATGGTACTTTCTTACCATATTTGCATTGCATATGAAGCGCTATACAACTTTAACACAAGTCATTTGATTACTCTAACTTCAAGATTTCAAGTGTCACCTTTGAACAAGAGACCACAATGTTTGCATAAGGAATGAATAATGTTTGTAGCAAAATGTGAACATGTTTTGCTCACATGCTCGCTTGAGGTTTACAAACGTACGTTTTCAAATGTTCATCTTGCTAAAGCAATGCTTAAAGCATAGTCTGACAAGTTGCATAATCACGCTGTTCATGATCACAACATGATAAAACACCACTGTTCAAAGTGGGTCAGCAAGGTTTTGCACACCAAAATCTATGCTGAACTGAATTGCAAGGGCTGTTAGTAAGAGAGATCTTGTCATATGGTTATTTTTATTGAGGAAATTATTTTGCATTTAACTGTACAACCAAGAGGGCCTGGAGATCTAGCCTGCTCCACAGGCCTCTCTATGGGTTTTAGCCCACAAATAGGGTTTTGAAAAAAAATTTCTGAAGAAATTTCTCCCCCTAAGTTAGATTTTGTCAAAATTTGCATGCGCAAGCCGGTATGCACAGTGCAAATTTTTGTGTCAATTTATGGCAGGCATCTCACCAAACACTTTTCGTCACTTTTCCTCGGGTGAGATGCCTGCATGCGGAGGCGGCAACTGGAGATCTTGCTTTAATATCAGGATCACAGGTTGAAACGTTCTCCGTATTTACTCACATAAACTGGACTGGTTGCAAGAAGGAAAGCTCAAAGAGATACTGCTGCAAGTTATTTTTAAGAAATAAAAGCCTACTAACGAAGTTGTTTTTTAAGAACTGTCAAAACAATGTCAGAACAACAAACTGTCCTGGCAAGCGGAATCAAATTCATAACTTCCGGTTTTTGGATAATTTGTATACAATCGTTATATTCTACGAAAATACTGTACATGTATCCCTGTACAAATAGCCTTTATTATTTACAGAGAAAACTGCTTATATCTCCAAATAATTTTCATCAAATAGGTCGAGAACTTACCGATTATTGCAACACATTTGAGCTCGGAGGAAGCCATGATTTGAAACGATCGAATGTTTTCGTTTTTGCTTCAATACTTCATGTTGGCACAAAAGATGTTGGCGTCAATGTATGTTCTTAACCAATTAGAATCGTGAAATAAGGTCATATGACCTCTTGTTTTGGAGGCAGGTTTTCAAAAGCAAAAATCTGAATTCTGAATTCTGAATCTATGTTTATTAAACTTTCAAACCATTACTTCTGTGCTTTCAAACCTGAAATTAAAGGCTAACGCTAACAAGACACCAAGAAGATGAACGTCGAATAGTAAGGAACATTTTTTTATTTTTGTGCCTGGATTTTGACCTTGTAAGGGGTCACGTCCATATTCATATTGCCACGCATAACGTCGAATCGACGTTATGAGTGGGTGGGTGGGTTTATCTCAATTCTCTCGACGTTATCTCGATAATCTCGTGGCAAAATTACAATTTTGTGAAGATTTTGAACAATGTGACTGCCACGCTCGACGTTATTTAGGGTAGGTGGGTGGGTTTGAGTGTTATAAACGTCGATTCGACGTTATGCATGGCAACATGAATATGGACGTGACCCCTAATTCGACTAGAATAACTCTAGTCGATTTAATACAAGGCCAATCCAAAGGTTGAATTTTGCACGTGCCGAATTTAAAAAACAAATAAATGAATAAAAAAGCAAATTACAGTGTACATTTCACTTTGTGTAGCTGGAAATGCGATATAAATACGTGCTATATTTCTTTATTTGGCCATTTCAAACGTGAAACGTCAAACTTTTGCACGCGTTGAGTGCAAAAATGTTTTAAAATTAGCTTCCAAAAGAGCTTAGTTATTGTGATATGCATTGTTGAATTACCATGAACAACCTAATATTTTGTATACTGTAAACCTTTGAATACTGTATAAACCCGACCCCCCCCCCCCCTGTGTATAATATAAACCGGTTTTCCACTAGACGGAATTTTGCGCGCAGAGCGGAATCTTTCTTTGTCTTTTCTAATTAGTTCCACCTGAGAAATCTCAAGAAAAATAAAAATTCCGCTCCGCGTGCAAAATTCCGCCTAGTGGAAAACCGGCTTTAAACACACCTGCCACCATATTCAGTGATGCTCAGGCCCTTAATTCCGATTATAAGCTCCCCCTGATTATTGTAATGAAAATTAGTATTTTGGGGGACGGGCAGAAGCTTTGAACTGAGGGTCTAAAAATATTCAAAATTCCCCTCATTGGTCATTCCAAACATCCATACCTCCCCCATGGAGGAAATTGGATGTTAACCCAATGGATGTCCTAATACACTTACTATTATGAGAAACATTTTTTCTCCCGGCCTCCCCCTCCGGACGGCAGAAATTTCCTCCGTGGGGGGAGCGTGGATCTTTTCTGGAACGACCCATTTTTCAATTTAGTCTTGTGTACAACGAGATCTGCTCGACACAGTTAATTCTTGAGAAATTCACGAAAATTGCTCCGGAGTTTACAGAAAGACTACAGTCAATATGGAAAGAGATGGGGATTAGTGCGAACACACAACATGACCGCATCCAAGCAGTCGTCAGCTACATCCAGGAGCTGTTGTCTGACATGGTGACAGATGAAGAAAATTTATTGAAAGAATTAATCAAAAACACAGAAAGATATGATGATGAACTATCCAGTCTCGCTCAAGTTCTTGGGCTTCCTCCATACGAAGTAGGTGTTCGGGGACTATTGACAAGTAAATTTTCTCCAAATAGTCTAGATTTTGATCTAGGCAAGAAGAACAAAATCCATCACCACAACTAGAAAGGGCATGTTAAAATTAGTAAAATTGCAAAGTTTGCCCGCGAAATGTTGTAAAATGCGGAAAATATATAGCCATGCGAAATTTGCAAATTTTATGTTCATTTAATAAATTGTTTTACGCGGGGAAAATGCACCCAGGGCCGTTGCGAAGGGATATGGATTGGGGGGGTGTCGAAGGTCAAATTGCCGAGTGACGCTAGTTTAATTTGCCGAGTTTTTCAAAAGTTTGTAAAGGTTAGATATAGGTAATGAGAAGTAAATGAGTAACTGAGGGACACCAATATGGCTCTTGTTTTGAAATGGATGCCTGTTCATGGGTTGTTGCTAAAAAGGAATCGGGTCACAGCTCAGTGATGAGCACCGCTATTTTATTTTCGTGCGTTTATTTTCAGATAGGAGTATTATGTTAATTTACTTATATTAAACATATAAAGCTGAAAAAAATTTAAATTTAATTAACATAATTTATACTGTGTTTTCATAAGTCCTAAATCGAGACTGAAACTATGTGCACACGGGTCACGTTTTTGAGCGTTTTTGTAGTGGCGTTTTCAAATTTAGCGTTTAGGCGCCTTGTTCACATTGATCGTTTTTCTCGTAACATTTTCTGACAAAGCACTAGTTTTTTATAGTCTTTGTTTCCAAATTCAAACACGGAATTTCATTTTCGCCTTCCACTTTTCTGTTTACACAATAACAAAGTGCCAATAGGACCAAACGTTTCAGGCATAGAAAACGAATTTTTGGCACCGTTTTCACTATATTTGAAACGTTTTTGTGCTTCCTAACTTCGTTTTCATACGTTTTCGTGTGAATAGAACGTACGTGAAAATGGTACTTTCAGTTTCAGAAATTAACGCATTACAACCAAAACCCGAAAACCGCTGTGAAACGGTACCGTGTGCATATAGTCTCAGTAACCAAGTATCTGCATGTGATTGCATTGATATTTTGTTTCAATATTTTCATGGCAATTTGATGAATTTGACCTTTTTTATCCCCAGGCGCCGAATAGACAATTTATAATATTTTTTGTATTTTGAGCAGTTTTAAAACTCTTAGTGCCGGATAGTGTTAACTGGGTTTTTGTACGACCCGATTTTCCAAGAGTTTAATTTTATGCGTCTGAAAGCGAGTAAAACGGATATGATCATATGCAACCGATGATACCGATCGCTGTATGCGGTATGTCTTTCAAAACTGTGGGTTGATCCTCGAGTTAACAGTAATTTCGCTAAAGAACTAAAGAAGTCAAGTCCGTTCTTATCAGTGGCATGGCTCGTCTTTCTCTTGGTCTTCTTCTCATGTGCCTGTGGAGTCTTCTTGAGGATCTTGCGCCTCTGACGACTCAAAATATTCTCTTTGGCTTTGACTGCGCTTTGCAGTCTCAAACGGATTAGCTCGTACGTCTTTATGTGCTACTCGCACTCGGTTTCCCTTATGGCAAGTTTGCTCGAGCCTCGATCTTACGGTAATCGTCGGGCCGTATGTTAGATAACTTTTATGGTTAATACGTTTTCCCTTGTGAAATAAATAATAAAGTTTCTATAGTCGTCAAAAATCGAATTACATTCAAGACACTGAAGTTTTATTATTTTTCTTTCGGGTTTTGAACCGCGCATAATTAATAAAGAGCTTCCGCTATAAGAGCAGTCGAGCGAAGAACATATTTTACATGCGCGGAAACGTGGGTTTCACATTTCAGCCTCCCGTCGATTTTCGACAAATAAAAACTAATAGTATTACTAGAAAATAGAAATACATTTAAATGGTTTTGACATAAGGCCACACAAACCATTATTTTAAATCCCAAATTTATCGCTTTATTTATCGCCTTCGTTCTTAACTTTTACAATTTGCTGAATGCCGATTTCGCAATTTGCCGAACAGTAACGAAGCAATTTGCCGACTGGGGCCGACTTGCGAAAATTATTGGGGGGGGTGAAGCACCCCCCCACACCCCCCCGTTCGCGACGGCCCTGAATGCACCACATTTGGTCCGAAAGTGGTGCATTTTCCCGTGCGTAATACTAAGGCTGATTTCCACTGTTGCGTTTTTCGTACGCACGTAAAACTTTGAGTCCTTCTATTTTTTAAATATTTTACAAATAAGTTAACAATTGCATACTAAAATTTGCGGAACACTAAATTCTTTTGCTTTATTTATTTGGTTATTTCATAATTAACATTTAAACGGATTTAAAGTTTTACGTGCGTATACGTACGTATGAAAAACGCAACAGTGGAAATCAGCCTTAAATAGTAATTAATACAAAATTTGCAAATTTCGCGCAGGGCTATATTATCCGCATTTTACAACATTTCACGGCCAAACTTTGCAATTTTTCTAATTTTAACATGCTCTTTGTAGCTGATGGCTTTTGTTCTTCCTGCCTAGATCAAAATTTAGTCTAGATAGGCTATAACTGGAATAATCTATTCGGGAGGGGTTAAGGCTCAATATTCGCTATTACGACAAATTGGGAAGATTCACTTCTGTCATCAATATTTATGCATCTATCATTGTTAGTGGGTGAGGGGGTGTCGCGCATATACAATACTCAATGGGGCATTTGATCGTTTTTTTTCCCCTGCATGCACACACGGGAATTTGACCGATATTTTTTCTCTCGAGGGTGGGGATATTTCAGAATTGAGCGCCGTCTTGCATCCTGAGGAAGAGCATAATTATGTGTTGGCACGAACAACTTCTAGCCTTTCATGAACAAGCTTTCGTTGGTAGGGATGCAACCACCTGAAAATATAAGGAGAATTTCGACGTTTTGAGCGATGACCGTTCGTTTCGTGTCAAGAGCCGTGAAATTTCACAACTCCAGACGAAAGTCCTTCGCCCGAAACGTCGAAATTCTCCTTAATATATTTTTCAGGTAGTTTCATCCCTATCAGCGAAAGCTTGTTCATATTATTGGCACTACCTGCACTGGCTCTGACAGTTCAAGATTTTAGCCTTCCTCTCTCGCAAAATTTTGCACTTTGAACAACCTAACCTGTTACAGATAACAACAGGCAGACAAGTGTGACGTCAGAACACTTCAAATGATCGAATATTGTTTTGTATAATTTTAGATTGTCCATATAGAAATGAGATGTATTCATCAAAAATACTTATAAATTGCACCTATACTGTACATTTTAATTCATTACTATAGGCAAAAGACAATATGTCACTTATTGAGAAGGAAAAAGGCCTTAGAACTAAACTCGATGCTTTGAATTTGGTAAGTTGCATCGATGTATTCTCGAACGAATCCATCTTATCAGTCGAGGGTTATGTACTATAGCTAGCCTATTTAAAACATGAGCAGCAGTGTTTTATCAGATATAAAGATACTATATACAAGGCGAAACCGAGTATCTTTATGTCTGATAAAACACACACTGCGAATGTTTTAAATTGCTTCAAAAACGATCGATCTAGTAAGTTCATTGGCGAAGTAATTTTCAAAAAATACGTTGTGTAAGTCGAGAATATCAAAGTTAAAGTTTATGTAAGTTTAGGGAAATCTCTATATAACATATAAAGATACATGTACGACACGCTTATGATTTTTCTTTGTGTTTTGCTCATGAATTATTAATGAGTTTTTGAAGGACAAAACAACCTTCACTATGCCTATCTAGGAGAAACACGAAAGAATGAAAATGTACAAAAATCTGCGTGAACAGGAAGAAGCGCTTTGCAAAAGATTGGCACTACCTCCGCATGACATGTCCATAGGAGAATTGCCTACCGCCACTCAAGTCAAAGAAATTGAAGCAAACATCAACTATATGGAGAAGGAATTGGTATATATAATGTAATATATTTACAAGAAATAAAGAGCAATAAGTAATGTTTAATAAACGAGTAGAAGTGTTTTATCACATAAAACACCACACGTAGCGGAGTGTTTTATATGTGATAAAACACGAACTACGAGTTTATTAAACAGCTTCAAAAACGTCTCAGTTAGATCACAGCATTGGCGACATAATTTTCCAAAATAACTTTGTATTAGCTGAGAAAATACAAGTTGGAATTTGAAGCGTGTTTTATCACATATAAAGACACGCCACGCTTATGATTTCTCTTTGTGTTTTCCTCATGAATTATTAATGAGTTTTTGAAGCTTCTTTAAGGTTTAATGACCAGATGAAATTATATAATTACATTTATTAAATTTTACGTTAGCACCATAATATATGTTAAAATTTTGATAATATTTTGGCAAGCTTTCCATCTTTCAGCCTGGATGAAAATATATGTATGCAACTGAACTTTACTCCAGTTTTTTTTTAAATTGCACTGCCATGATGACAGAATCGGCTGTTTCGGAAACGTTAAGAAAATATTCGACCTCCACCCCTCATCACTGTTTACAAGATTATAAAACTACCCCTATATTCACTCCCAGCACATTTTGAGGATGCGCGATATCCGTGTACTTACCTATACCTGAGGTACACGCCCAATATTACGGACTGGCACTTCTGGGACTGGCACTTCTGCCAGTTCAACCAAGTTTTTTCGACCAAGATGGGAAGTGTACATGTATACAGTGTGTGAGCCATGCACTATGTTGTATCTTATATAGGCCCAGGCGAAAATCCAATTTCAATATGCACGTCAGACTATCTTAAAATTATGGGAGGAATTGGAGATAGACAGCACCGAAACTAAATTTCCTGAGATTGCAAGCGACAAAGCAGAAGAGACTTTTGTTTTATCAAAAGTAAATTTACGACAGTTGAAGGAACATTTAAATAAAGTAAGCCTCGGAATATTTATTTACTATAAGGTGTCCCAGAAAATACAAGATCTTCCAGATTTTCACACAGTCAGCTAATGATGAGTGGGCATCGAGAATTCAATTCAGGAGATGAATGTCCTTACTGGTAGAACCAAATGTGATCGCTTTTTGAGACTGGGCTACCGGAAACGGCTTGACGAGTCAAGCAGGGTCCTGATTTTCGTATTTGAAATGTTACGTAATAGTGTCAAATTTGTCTACCTTCACCTCAAGGGCTATTTTAACATTGTAAAATTTTAAAAAAATTTCTAGCTTGAAAAACAACAAGAAGAAGACCGTCAACAATGTTTAGAACTATTAAAGAAGTTGAAAAGCCTGTGGGTGAAATTAGAAATCAATGAAAAAGATCAGTGTGCGTTTAAAGAAAATTGTGTTGGTTCCAGACCTTCTGCAATTCAAAAGGTACTGCAACAGTTGCTAACGATTTATCAAGAGGAGTTTTTTGTGTGTTAGGGGCGACATTCATACTCAAGTTGATGTTTTCTTTCAAACCCACCCACCCCACAAAACGTCAACCGTGACAATTACAGTTTGTTACACTTTCTATGTGTAAATAAGGTACAATGTACTGGTACTAAAAACTACTACTTGATTCTTCGGGAAAATAATTTTCTACAAAATTGCCCCGAAACGGCGAAACCTTTGCGAAACGAAAGTTTTTCACCATCATTTTTTCTCAACTGTGGTCCGTTACGTAATGGTCCATCGTTGAGTAGCCAATCAGAATGCTGTATTTTTAATAGATCATGGTTGAGTGTATACTCAAAAGAGATATCCAGTTTATCTGGGCCTTCCAAAGACGAAAAATAGAGGGCGTTTTGCACTTCACGCGCAGAACCTTGCAATGTGGAAACCTTTTGTGGAACATGGTTTCTCGAAAGCATTATATGGGGAAACAAAACTGCCCTCAACTGGAAGCTTATAGCCTGTTTTAGGCCTGTACTTTCAATTTTTAGTTGAAGAGTGAGGTGGACAAGTACGAAAGGATGAAACTCAAGTACATGGAAAAATTTATTTTAGCTTTGAGGTTTGTCTTCTCTTAATTTTCATTATTATCAATTACTATTTATTTAAAAGATTCGTGGTTCCTGTTGGTTAACAGCAAACTGTGAAATCGTCATGATATCAACTCAATTGCTGGCCAAATATGAAGGTTTGACATTAATATTAGCCTATGGTATTTGGGGATGCAGGATGTATAAAAAAGTACATTACTGTGGTATGAAAAATTATATCAACGTTAACAGCTGAACAGGGTGGACTTTTGTCGACGCTGCATAAAAATAGTGCGGGCTCGTGAGCTTAATTTTCCCGCAAATTTAGCTTTTTGTTATTTTGCTTACAATTTCTAAGGATGTTGAAGTTTTCTGCATTGTGATTCACTGGTTTTTTGCATTGTGATTCACTGGTTTTTGAAAGCATCGGGGTTTTTTTCTTTGGAACTTGCAGGCTAACTCTTCAACAACCTAATGACTGTTTTTAAAGCAAAGCAATTGAAAGAAAAACTTATATTTTCATACGAAGAAGATGAGTGGCGACATTTATGTTGTGCTGTTTTGAGCAGATGCTTCGAAGAACATGATATGATCGGACCTTGTATCTTAAAAGTGTACTTGGAACAGCCGAACAAAGTCGTAAATTGTGTTACCCGGTGTGTTGGGCATCATAATTCACAGGAATAGTACACAGTGGCGTTTAAGCTGGCTATGAAATATCGTGAATACTTCGTCGAGTTCTCTACCGCCATGTGACCTGTAATTTAATGTGGTACGCGTCTTTGAAAGGGCTTTACTTGACTTTAATCGACGTGGACGTCATCCTACATATCAAACAGGCGGCAACAAGTAACAGTTTTAGGAGCAACCTCGCAGTCACTTTCCGTGGTCTCGGGTGTCCCTCAAGGTTCCATCCTCGGTCCGATTCTTTTCTTGATTTACTCCAATGATATTCTCTCAACTTGCGAAAAGGGGGCAATGTACGCCGATGACCTCAAGTGTTACAAACCCATTGCTTCTTTACATGATGCGAATTCTTTCCAATCTGAAATTAACTCGGTATGCTGTGCAACTCAAAATTGTCTACTGGATTTTAATGAATCTAAGTGCTCGGTTCTGCGTATCTCCCGTAAAGTGAATAGAATCGAGCACTCTTACCAAATTAATGATTCGGTATTACCTACGGTCAACAAAATCAAAGATCTTGGAGTACACATTACATCAAATCTGGATTGGACGGAACATGCGTACAACGTCAGCAAAAAAGGGAACAAAATGTTGGGATTACTTAAGCGTTGTACCGTAGCATTTCAATGTCGTGAAACAAGACGTTTGCTCTATCTTACACTTGTAAGATCTCACTTCTCCTATGCAAGCCAACTCTGGGCTCCACAAAAGGTCAACCCCATTCAAGAGATGGAGAAAGTGCAGAGACGGGCGACTAAGTTTATTTTAAATCTTAATCATCTTTCAGAAATGCCTTACCGAGAAAGACTATTGTCTTTGGATATTTTACCTGTATCCTACTGGCTAGAACTGCAGGATCTGCTTTTCTTATTTAAAGTCATTAATGGTTTGGTAATCTTACCTATAGGCGTCTGTCCTGCATTTTACGTTGCAGCAAGATGTACACGCAGCAGTACAGGGAAACGAAGACAGTTAGTTGTAAGGAAATGTAGAACTACCACTTTCCAAAATAGTTACTTTGTTAGAGTAGCCAAATTGTGGAATATTCTACCACTCGAACTAACATTAGAAGAAGAGACATTCCAAGGTTTTAAAAGTAAACTGAACAAGTATTATAGTCCCTATAATAGGGCGTCCCGCCCTAAGAACTGTTTATAACATTGATGACTGCAGAACTTGGAAGTCAATATGTATAAAGTGTAGAACAACAAGTTGCACAACAAGATTCATTGTTGTTTTTAACATTTTTTACATCTCTAACATTTTAATAATATAATAGATATGTGTATGTGATAGTTTGTAACTTGTATCAGTATGTATTGTAACTTCTATTTTAGTTGGGGGTACAGTAATTGGGGTAACCTGTTGTACCTTTTCCATTTTTACCTCTATAAAGGTTTAATAAAGTGATTTAAACATTAAACGTAAGGTATAACTTAGGTAAGCCAACATTTCTTTGTAATGCAAGCTACATTTTCATATCTTTAATGTGTGAATATTTTTAATTTTGTAAAAAAATAAGCGCCATATGTTGTTGGAGAAAGTATCGAGTGCTTCATAATAACGCTCAGATCTTGTATACAGATATTCGTATTTTATTCAAAATCTACCCTTTATCACCACTTTTTTTATTATTTTATGTTAAAGTATACATAATCCTTGGCTTAAAAACACGATGATCTACTCGAGGAAAATTGGGCAAAGGGGCGATCTTTGCAGAGGAACTTGACCGTTCGGTGAAATTGGTAGTTCAAAGGCCCTATTTTCATTGTAGTATTTCGTGGCAATTTGTTGGCCGATTTCTAGTTTATATTGTAGAACGAATTCCTAGTGAATTAAATTAATTGTCTATCCTCTACAGAGTAGTAATAAGCGCGTCTCCTTTTTGTTGACGGATGTTGAATTCATTTTAGACTCTTGTTCATAAACAAGGACTACACTACCGAGTACTAAATCATTGTTTGCAAAGAAATGAGCCTATATCACCACAAAAATTCAAGCTTATTTTTAGAGACAAATAGTTTCTCCATGGATAGAAGTAGTTTTTATGTAGTGAAAAATAGGGCAAGTACGAATTTAAAGAAGGTCAATTTGCACTTGTATATCTCACTTCGAAAAGGATATACATATTAAAAACAGGTATATTTGCACTGCGAAATTAAACTGCTGCAACAAAGTTTTTATTTCTACTTTCACGTTCTTATTCCTAAGCAAACACTTCTAAGTTGGAAATGCCTAAAATTGTGAGCGTAGAAACACTAAAGAAACAAGAAATCGACTTCATAACACGAGTAGTTTTGGCAAATTTGATGTTCGTTTTTATAATTCAGTCACGCGATTAACCCGCGCTCACGTGCACTCCACGCTTACGTTTCTCGCGCATGCGTAGACGAAAGTCCACCCTGTTTAACAGCTGGGAAATTTGTTGTCGCTGTGCAGAGAAATTGCTGGCGCACGCGATATTTTACAAAAATTCGAAAATTTGAAAAAACAACACCAGTGAAATTTCAACTTATGATTTTGCATTTTTAAGACGGCGATCAAGGAAATTAAATTGTTGGAAAAACTTCACTAACATCTCCAGTATGGAAAGCATCTACATTACCAGCAATTTAATTGTGGATTGATTCAAAATTCAGGCGATAAAGTTACATAGCTAGGAGTTGGCTTTTGTGCTCTTCGAATATCAGTTTTCATTCGCGGATTACCGCGACTTGTTGGTCTCATGGGTGCTAAGCTGTGCCAAAATCGACATAAACGTAAACTTCTAACCAAGAGCTATAAAACAAATAGCTTTTCAAAAAGATAAACTTTATTCGGTCAAAAGGATGAGGGTAAATAAACATGCTACTGCGTGATAGTGATTTCGAAGCAACTTTGTCACATATATTTTAAAAAGTGTGATAATGAATCAAATTTTGCTTTTTGCAATCCCAAAAAGGTATGAAAATTATTTAAATATTTAAGGTTTCCGTGTTTATAAAGTATTTTTTGAGAAAAGCAAAAATTTTCCCGATTAAAAAGCATAGTTTCTGCAGAAAACTGTTTTCTGATAGAGAAAATCCTGAGGGAGGGGGTGTAGAAACGTGCGCGAATAGCAAAAAAACTTGACGTTTCCTCCAAAAAATTAATACCAAATTTTGTTTTGCCTTTGTTTGATATGTAATTTAAACAAGTTTTTGTACATCTAAAAATTGCCCCTAGTGGTCAAAACTTGGATTATGTTCGCAGTATTGGCCATTTGTTTACTTTTGGGGATCAAAGTTTGAGGTCCAATTATTTTTAAAGTTTGCAAACTACCAGCTAATTCTTGGCTGTTGTTTGCAGCCTTGTATGGCTGATTAAAATTTAGTTTAGTCCGCAATAGTAGATCCTTTCAATGAAGGGAAATTCAAAATAGTATATTTGATTACTTTTACAGCACAGTCATTACATAGGTAGGGTGCAATACCAGGCCAAATTGCAAAAAAAATTACCGATTCCTCCGAATTTAAAATCATATTTTTTTGCTCCCAAGGCACATAGGAAACAGAATTTAACAATAAATTTTGTTGAAAAATTGCCCCTTTGCGTCTAATTTCGCTTTGAAATGCGTGCGTTTACTGCTCTTGTATGAAGCAAGAGTTCGAAAACATTCGAAGTACTGTAAAGTGTAATGAAATCGACAACTTAATTGACCTTGCCCTTGGCCTTGAGACCTTGTACTGCCTCAGCACTGAAATGTTTTTTACAACGATAATTTACCAGTGTTTCTTGAATATTTTCCTTGTTTAACTAGTAGAACCGAAAGTACAAGTGCATCAGAAGACTAAGCGAGAGTTTTGTGTAGAAATGCTCTATTTACGGGAAGTTATTTTACATTCGCAAGCGTCAACAAAACTGCCGCATTTTCACAGTTTGATTATCATAGCGACAGATAAAAGCTTTGAAAATTCAATTGAAAACATTTTAAAGGGTATTGGCAACAAAAATTTTTATTGATTTTATTGCTTCATCTGAAGGAGCATGAAAAAATAAGCCGATTGGCCGTTTACTGCTCTATTCTATCTCATCTGGTTCCGAAGTTATACGCAAAAATGTGCAAAATATAAATTGCTGATTCAGCACATTCTGTGACGTCATAAGCTGGGTAAGTATGTTTATTGAATAGTAAACTAAAGCATAGCTGAGTTATTATTGGCTCAAATCAAATGAAATTTTGCATACAGATAGTACATGATGAGATGCATGGGAAAATACTTCTAATTTCGTTGTCAAGGCAACACAGTCGTTCCCAGGCCTCTTACACTGATTTTGAATAACTAGTTGCATTTATCTATGTGTATGTCATTTTCGAATTATTATTATGCAAGTAAACTTTTGGCATGCATAGGTATCATACACATACTTCTGATATTATTTTATTCTTATCAGTACCTTGAATAAAGCTGTTTCATAAAATTGGCGCAAGGGGCCTGGAAACGACATTGTTACCTTGGCAACAAAATTAGAAGTGGTTTTCCATGCGTCTCATCATGTACAATCAGTATGCAAAATTTTATTTGATTTGGGCCCATAATAACTGAGCTATGTTTCAGTGTAGTATTCAATAAACATACTTACCCAGCTAATGACGTCACACGTTGTGCTGAATCAGCAATTTATATTTTCACATTTTTGCGTATAACTTCGGAACTAGATGAGATAGAATAGAGCATTAAACGGCCAATCGGCTTATTTTTTCATGCTCTTTCAGATGAAGCAATAAGATAGATGAAGCAATTTTTGTTGCCAATCTCCTTTAAACCACCCATATTTGTATAGAATATATGTTAGTTGTATTAACATTGAACTCCTTTCTGTTTGAACCCAAATTTGTACTTGTTTTGCGTTTGACAAGGCTATCAAGCTCGCGACGATTGGCTTTTATACCTCAGGCACAGGGTTGGCATTTGTTCTTTTACTATTTGTTCTTTTATGTTCTTTTATAATAAAAGAACATATTTTTTTTTCGCCAAATTTGTTCTTTTATTTTCTTTTATTATTTTTAATTTTTTATGTTCTATTAGTTTGAAAATCAAGAATTTTCAAAATTCTTAAATTGTCACTAACAATTTTATATGTTTATATTCTAGTACTTCGTCGAGATCATCAACTCCGCGAAGTACTGGAATATAGACATATACTGAAAAACAATGTGTAATCACGATTACACACTATATACGAAATTATCTAAACTGGATTGTTACAAACACTCCTTCTTCGTCATCCTATCTTCTTTGACATCATCGTATTTTTTATTATGACGTCATCATATTTTTATCATGACGTCATCGTATTTTTCTTAAAGCCGAAAATGTTCTTTTATTATTTAAAATGTTCTTTTATTAATAAAAGAATAAAGAACATTTTCTTTCTGAAAAAATGTTCTTTTATCCAACCCTGCTCAGGCATGACTGCAGATTTAATAGCGTGTCAAATGTCTTCTTGTTTGTGTCAGGATTATAATATTCTATTGCTGTTCAAACGAGATATTCTACACACTGGAAACGTAGAGTACATTTTACTTTGTCCTTGTCTCAAGCAAAAAAATTATAAAGATTAAACAGGCATTCAAAAATATACAACAACCACGAACATCTTGTAACTGATTTCTTCGAGGAAATCTTCAAGTTTCAATGGAAATCTGGCGCATGCACAACAAATTTCCCAGCTGTTATCAACGTTATGACGTCGCTGTGGAAATACGAGTACCAAATGTGGAAACACGACCAAAACAATATGGCGTCGTCTGTGGTTTAAACTAGCGCGTAAATTCCGGAATGGCACCTTCCATTTTATTGTATATTACTATAAAAACGTATATTACTATAAAAATGTATTTTTCGAATGTATTCAACAAGTTTGTTGAAAGCGTAATCAGCAAAGGCGTTTGCGTACGTGTGAAGCTAAACGAAGTCTGGATCTATTTGTTTTCGAAAGTATATAGGTCCGATTTTTTAAACTTTTTTTCCGACTTTCTTTTAATTCTCAATCAAATGGTTAGGGTTAGAGAAGGGGTTGGGAACAGTTTATTTCATAAAAAATCAACTTTAACTATATAAATAAAGTGAAAGGTGCCATTCCGTATTTAGGCGCAAGTGTGGTTAAGGAAACATATTTTAAAATGTAAAGACGAAATATCAACGAAAACTACGTTGTAACTAACGACTTTAGCACTATATGTATCTTTCGTTTCCGTTCCCATTCCGCGGAGGGTTTTCTTGGATGCAAACTGAGTAGTATAGGGAAGAGGGGTTCTGGGACGGGTGGAGCACTAGAGCTCCACCCATGACATCATCAGCATATCATTTCATATCGATTACACACGCTTATGGTGTTTTTAAACAAGCGTAAACCATAATAGGCAATACCAGCTTTTAGTTTATGCCTGCAGGGGATGATGGGAAGTAAGGTATCATATTGCTAATTATGCTGAAACATTTCAATAAAAACCAACGAAGCAACCGAAATATTTCAATATTTACAAGTATAAGCTATCAGTCCGTGTTTACACGGCCACCATTTTTATTTTTTCAGCATAATCAGCAATGTGATACCTTACTTCCCATCGTCCCCTGCACGCATGAACTAAAAGCTGGAATTGCCTATTGAATTCCGTTTTAATTAACCGCTTACTATTTTACTAATGTGTCCCTGCAGGACTTTTTGTCCCGGTTGTCCCGATAACTCCTTTATTTCTCACGTTTATAGCATTATTCCCAAACAAATGCGGTAGAAACATAAATATTCTGATGGCAGCGTTTTCAGGTAATCCCCACGCGTAAAACAAAGGTTGAGGTAATTAAGGGGATTAAGGCAATACGAATTTGCATAACCAATAGGATCCTAATGGCTATAAATGGATATTATTACGGGCGGTCGTCGGCATGTTCAGTGCTATGTGTTGCCGTGCTCAATATCCAAAGATATTGATATCCTAAGATATTGATATCCTAAGATGTTGATATCCTTAGACACTGTATGATATCCTAAGATATTGATATCCTAAGATATTGTATTATATCCTAAGATATTGTATGATATCCTAAGATACTGTATGATATCCTAAGATACTGTATGATATCTTAAGATATTGTATGATATCTTAAGATATTGATATCCTGAGATATTGATATCCTTTGATACTGAACGACATCCTAAGATATTGACTTCCTAAGATATTGTATGATATTTGGAGCCAAACGCGACAGGCTTGGAGTCACTCTAAATAGCTCGGAGCCGAGTTCTCAATAGCTCGGAGCCACTCTAGATAGTTCATAGTCCTGACGATAGTCTTAATGGTTATAATTATAGTCTTAATGACTATAGCTATAACCATTAAGACTATAGTCATGACTATTAAGACTATAGTCATGACTATAAGACTATAGTTATGACCATTAAGACTATAGTCATGGCTATTATAACTATAGTCATCACTATTAAGACTATAGTCATGACCATTAAGACTATAGTCATAACCATTAAGACTATAGTCATGACTATTAAGACTATAATCATGACCATTAAGACTATATTCATGACTATTAAGACTATAGTCATGGCCATTAAGACTATAGTCATGGCCATTAAGACTATAGTCATGACCATTAAGACTATAGTCATGACCATTACGACTATATTCATGACCATTAAAACTATAGTCATGACCATTAAGACTATAGTTATGACCATTAAGACTATAGTTATGACCATTAAGACTATAGTTATGACTATTATAACTATAGTCATGACTACTAAGACTATAGTCATGACTATTAAGACTATAATCATGACCATTATGACTATAGTCATGACCATTAAGACTATAGTCATAACCATTAAGACTAATGTCATGGCCATTAAGACTATTGTCATGACTATTAAGACTATAATCATGACCATTAAGACTATAGTCATGACTATTAAGACTATAGTCATGACCATTAAAACTATAGTCATGACTATTAAGACTGTAGTCATGACCATTAAAACTATAGTCATGACTATTAAGACTATAGTCATGACCATTAAAACAATAGTCATGACTATTAAGACTATAGTCATGACTATAGTTTTAATAAGACTATAGTCATGACCTTTAAGACTATAGTCATGACTATTAAGACTATAGTCATTACTATTAAGACTATAGTCATGACCACTAAGACTATAGTCATGACTATTAAGACTATAGTCATGACCATTAAGGCTATAGTCATGAATATTAAGACTATAGTCATGACTATTTAACAATTAGACAACGAAGCCGAGTTGACTATTTGCTCATAGACAACGAGGCCGAGTTGTCTAATTGTTTTAGTATAAACTTTAACATTAATTTACAACTAGGCTGCAAGTTTTTGTTCGCGTAAAATGTTTTACAAAATTCAGTTTTAATTTTAAAATTTCATTGAGTATGTTATTTTGTCTATTTTCTTACCCTTAAAAATTGCCATTCCATATTTTTATTGCTTTTTCAGGGGTTTTTAGTACAGAATTGTTCAACAAGTCGTCCAAAAAAATCATCAGACACTTCGGCAAAAGTGCAAAACGCGAATTTCCCGCCATTTTGAATTTTCTATTAGTAGGCTATCACTATCAATGTGATAGCCTACTAGTAGGTTTATACTAAAAGACTATAGTTATGACCATAAATAGTGTAGTCATGACTATTATAACTATAGTCATGACTATCAAGACTATAGTCATGGCCATTAAGACTATAGTCATGACCATTAAGACTATAATCATGACCATTAAGACTATATTCATGACTATTAAGACTATAGTCATGACCATTAAGGTTATAGTCATGACTATTAAGACTATAGTCATGACTATTTAACAATTAGACAACGAGGCCGAGTTGTCTATGAGCGAATAGTCAACGAGGCGAAGCCGAGTTGACTATTTGCTCATAGACAACGAGGCCGAGTTGTCTAATTGTTTTAGTATAAACTTTAACATTAATTTACAACTAGGCTGCAAACACAATACAAAAATACACAAAAAAATTATAAAACCATTAACGGTAAACAAATATTTTAGTTTTTGTTCGCGTAAAATGTTTTACAAAATTCAGTTTTAATTTTAAAATTTCATTGAGTGTATGTTATTTTGTCTATTTTCGTACCCTTAAAAATTGCCATTCCATATTTTTATTGCTTTTTCAGGGTTTTTTAGTACAGAATTGTTCAACAAGTCGTCCAAAAAAATCATCAGACACTTCAGCAAAAGTGCAAAACGCGAATTTCCCGCCATTTTGAATTTTTGATTAGTAGGCTATCACTATCAATAGCCTACTAATAGGTTTATACTAATTAACAATTAGACAACGAGGCCGAGTTGTCTATGAGCGAATAGTCAACGAGGCGAAGCCGAGTTGACTATTTGCTCATAGACAACGAGTCATAGTCATGACCATTAAAACTATAGTCATGAATATTAAGGCTATAGTCATGAATATTAAGACTATAGTCTTGACTATTAAACTATAGTGACGTCATGACTATTAAGACTATAGTCAGGACTATTAAGACTATAGTCAGGACTATTAAGACTATAGTCAGGACTATGAACTATCTAGAGTGGCTCCGAGCTATTGAGAACTCGGCTCCAAGCTATTTAGAGTGGCTCCGAGCTATTGAGAACTCGGCTCCAAGCTATTTAGAGTGACTCCAAGCCTGTCGCGTTTGGTTCCAATTAAATATCATAAATATCTTAGGAAGTCAATATCTTAGGATGTCGTTCAGTATCAAAGGATATCAATGTCTCAGGATATCAATATCTTAGGATATCATACAATATCTGAAGATATCATACAGTATCTTAGGATATCATACAGTATCTTAGGATATCATACAATATCTTAGGATATATACAATATCTTAGGATATCACACAGTATCTTAGGATATCATACAGTATCTTAGAATATCATACAATATCTTAGGATATTATACAGTATCTCAGGATATTATACAGTATCTCAGGATATTAATATCTTAGGATATCATACAGTGTCTTAGGATGTCAATATCTTACGATATTGAGCGCGCTCTTTCCCGCGTGCCCGCGCGATTTGTCTAACCCGCCCACTGATTAGTGTACAAATATTTTGTACATTAATATATGCATGCACCCAAGCATCGCTAATTAATGACTGGCAACACATAGCAACGTATATAACGACCGCATATTTGATAAAAGCATATCTATTTTTTATGGTAAAATATATTGCAACTAAGACTGTTCTAAAAGTTTTTCCTTCAAATATTCTTGGTAAGCTTTCTTATGATTTGTTACAATTTACTACGCTAATTATAAAACGATTACTTTGTGATAAAATTGTTGACCTCAGCGAAAATATTGACTCTTCGCCTGAACATGCCCACGACCGCCCGTAATAATATCCATTTATATCCATTAGGATCCTATTGGTTATGCAAATTCGTATTGCCTTAATCCCCTTAATTACCTCAACCTTTGTGTTTTACGCGTGGGGATTACCTGACAACGCTTGGCGTGTAAGCTGTAGCGTGTACCCTGCAATGATAATTTGTATATTCTTGTGTTTGTATTGGCAAAGCATAATAAATAAATAATTGGTTGATTGATTCGCGCGGACTTTTGTTGATTTTAATTTTATACCCTTTTAGAAAAGAGCTTACGCAGTTATGGGATAAATGTTACTTTGGTGAAGATGAAAGAAACGGGTTTGTCCCTGCATTTGATGGTAAGTTTCTGCTGATATTACCAGGGGTGTATATTCTTCAATGACCTTTGATTTCTTCCCCCACCCCCCTCTCTTCAGCTTTGATTTTCTTCCGTGTATCTTGAAGAAATTTGGGCGCGGCATCGGAGTCTGGGCTCCACCTTTACTATTCCAGTAATTTTCCTACGATTTAAAGAATTATTTTCGAAAAAACGTTTGATTCACGGTAGAAAAATGATGTTACAATGCTGATTTTGACAACAAATTTTTCAGCTTATTTAGAACTTCTGCATCTCAATGATAAACAGCACAACAAAATAATTGATTATTGATATATTAACTAGAGATGTTCCCATTAAAAAGTACTCCTCTCTCTAAATTACGTTCATTTTTTAACAAACGTTTTTAGTTTCACAAACATTAATATATATTCACTTTTTTAAAATTTGATTTAAATATTGACATTATGTTCCAATTCCCCTTCCTCTTGCCATAAAAAGTCATACTTCTTCTATACCCCTCCCCCTCCTTGCTGACATAATATGAGACTGATCCCCAAGTTTTCTCAGTTCTTTTTCATTCTCATCCCTTGTCCTTTCTCTTCTTTTCCTTTTGCCCACTCATTTTCCTTTTGCCCTTTCCTTTCTTTTCCCTTTGTTCTCTTCTTTTCCCTCTTTCTTTTCCCTTCCCTTCCTTTCTTTTTCACTCTTCTTTGAATTTCGTCCCTGGCCCTAAGACCCTTTGATTCCTCCCCCCGCCCCAGGGGGGGGATTATAGAAGAATATACACCCATGGATATTACAATATTTTAATCAATATATTGCAGAGAATGTGCAAAATTGCGCACTGCATGCACCAACTGAAAAGTTGCGGAAAATTTGTGTCAATGTTGTATCAGCATTGGGTAACTTGGGATATTCTGGTGTCTCTATCACCAAATTATTCTGAAAAATAAATTTTCGAGCACAGGTGGACTGTTTTTCAAAACCACTTTAAGAATGGCTTGCGCACAAAGATGTAAGGTTTAAAACGCAATTTGAATTCATAGAATGCATATTTCGAACGTGTTTTATATATGAACTACTAATTAGTATATTTAGTATCGAACTTTCCCTTAGCCTCATTTTAATAATATAGTCTTTCTGTTTTTTATAATGACCAATAACAAGGCTTAAATTAAAAATTTAAGCCTTGTTATAGGTCATTATAAAAACAAAAAGAACTACCAATTAGTAACAGACTGTTTGATACATTATGTCCAACGTGCGACCTCTAAAACCTGGACTTTTTGGATTTTCATCCTATCAATTAAAATTGGGTTTCAAACCTTCCATTTTTTAGCCTGCGTAGCAGGCGGCGACGTTTCCTCGCCGCAGCCCTCGCTTTTCCCACGGAGGCTATCCATTTTTGCACGCAAACCATTTTTAATCAAGGCAATATTCCTAACTTAGCGTAAAGTTGTCACAAATTTTGGGGAATTTTCAGTTCAGTGGACATTTTAGAACTGTGCACTATTTTATACATCCCGTATAATAGGGGCCTTTAGCATGTTGGACGGTAACGCGGTCGTGCATTATCCGTTGTATTAAGTTTATTACAATGTTAGGGGGTTAAGACGGGGTTATAATTGAGAAGACTTCGACCAAGCTGATTTGCCCAGTACCACTACTCGTGGTTGAAACACAGGCGTCACTTATTTATTTAAATTATATACAACTTGCTGGTTGAAACACAAGACGTAGAAGAATATTTTATTTCATGTTAAACAGAGCGAAGACAAGGTCTAAGACCCCCGAGGGACTTCTAAGGATTCATTTCTTCTCTATACACTGCCATAAATTCATTGTATTAATAGTCATCGCAATTTTCCCTTTCGTAACCGCAAGGGTCACCAGTAACAATCAATGTCATCACTCGCGAAACATGCGTTTAAACGCGCGTCCCAACGTGTTATCACGAACTGAACAGTCACAAACAACATGAAGTAGAGTTAGGCGATACTTAGTCGTGTCATCGTAATTATCGTCTATATAGAAACTTAAAAAAGCTTAAAAGCTATGTGCGTATACGAAACAATATCACAGTAGTCATTGATGTAACGATAAGTATGGTATATCCTCGCTCACGTTTCTATACCTTTGACACGATAATTATGAGTAAAAATATCGTGATAATATCGAAATATCGCCCAACTCTATCACGAACTTTATAGGACGTGCTTATCAGTGACAGAGTAAGGACGTGCTTTTTAGAGCTCCGTATAAATCAATATTATAGCAACAATGGCAGCTACTAAAGCGCTTAAAAAGGAAAATACAGAGCTTCGTCTAGAGATTGATAAACTACAAAGCAAGATTAACCAAATTTCTGAAAACATTTCTCAAAGAAACGTAAATTCAGAAGGGACTCATCACAGTGGCCACGCTGCAAGCATGTTGGATAAAGAGAAGGATAAGTCCGTAGAGTTTATCAACGCCAAGTATGACGAGCTTGTCTTATTTAAAACTAATACGATCACTGAATTGAAACAGATTAAATCCGAAGTCAATGTAATATCATTAAAATGTGAAAAGATTGCCAATTCTATCGAACAGCTTGAGGAATATAGCTATCAATATAATGTGAAGATTATTGGCGTCCCGCAACAGCAACAAACGGAGACGGCAGAGCAAAGCTCAAAGCTATGTCTCGAAATATTTCGTAAAATCGGTGCTGAAGTCCTTTTACAAGATATAGACATCGCCCATCGAGTGCCATCGCGAAATCCCGACAACAACAACAACAACAACAACAACAACAACAACAACAACAACAACAACAACAACAACAACAACAACAACAACAACAACAACAACAACAACAACGCGATTATTTGTAAATTTGTCAGACGCCTAGCACGAGAGAACGTAATGACCGCACGAAAGAATGCAAATGATCTGCAACCAAGCATTAGAATCTACGATCACCTCACCCCTCGGCTGCAAGAGCTTTTATATGAAGCAAAGAGATATCAGCGGGCAAATCATTTCAAATTTTGTTGGCGCAAAAAACAAGACGATCTACCTACGCAAGTCAGAGAACGAAAGTTTTATCAAGCTAAAGAATCTGCAGGATCTTAATGCACTATTTTGATATTCATAGCCTTACAAGCTAAGTAATCTTAGTCTTTTGTTTGTCTTCTTAAATGGCTTTTGATAGTACAATTATTGACCTTCCGTTTAATCACTTAGATGATAGATCTTTTCATGCTGCATTATATGAAATGTCGTGCGGCAGCATAAATTTTGATTTTGATCACTTAGAAACCTTAGTTTTCAATCCTATCGAACATTTAGCCACAGTTCAAAGTGTTCCCATAAATTCGAGTCTTGATCCTGATTTAAATTTTTATGCATGTTCTCAATCGAATAGTAATTACATGGTTGAGGATGAAATCAATGGCTTAACCAGCGATAAACAGTTTGATCTGAGTTTTTCCCTATTGCATATATTAACAGCCGTAGTCTGGTTGGCAATTTCGATAACTTCCAAACGTTAATAGCATCGTTAAATAAGCCGTTTTCTGCCATTGGAGTTTCTGAAACTTGGTTAAACGATAAAACTTGTGATCTTGTAAATATTCCTGGCTATGATTTCATCTCAAACCATCGGACATATAAGACTGGTGGTGGAGTTGGTATCTATCTACAAGATTGTTTACAATATAAACTGCTCAAAAATTGCACCATTTCCAATCCTGAGGCAATTGAATCTCTGTTTATCGAAGTTTCTAATCCTCTTGGGAAAAATATTATTGTAGGCACAGTTTACCAGCCTCCTAATCAAAACCTTTCGGTTTTCATGGATGAATTCAATAATATACTATCAATTATTTCTAAAGACAATAAGCATTGTTATCTAATGGGGGACTTTAATTTGGACTTGCTTAACTATGAACATCATACAACTACCCAAGAGTTTCTGGACGCTTTGTTCTCTCATATGATCATTCCACTCATTTCAAGACCAACTCGTGTGACTGCTCACTCCGCAACACTTATTGACAATATTTTCACAAATTGTTTCTCCCCGCATAATATTCTTAGTGGAAATATCCTTAATGACCTTTCTGACCATTTTCCAATCTTCGCTTTTTTCAATAATGAATACATTGCCCAGAAAACTGAGTTGAAATCAGTTACGCGTGATTTCAGCGAAGGAAACCTTTCAAATTTTCGATCTTGTCTTGCCCATGTTGACTGGACAGATGTTGTGAATGGTCAGGATCCTAGCACTGTTTTTGATGCTTTTGTAACTGAGTATAATAGTCATTTCGAAAATTTACGGGGAAGCCCCCGTAAAAGTAATCAAAATAAACATGTCCAAAAAACCAAGAACTCCTTGGGTTAGTAAAGGGTTACTGGCTTCGGTTAGGAAAAAGAATAGATCGCGAACATACTACGATGAGAAATTCGAACAATCAAAAAATGACCTGAAAGCTACTTGGAAACTAATTAATGAAATTATTAATAAAAAGAACAACAAGCGGCCTTTGCCGTCTTCTTTCAACTCAAATGGGAGAACCATCACTGATCCAGTTAAAATTGCCAATGAATTTTGTCATTACTTTACAAATATTGGTCCAAATTTAGCAAGTAAGATACAAACAACTAACTCCGCTTTTCAAAACTTTGTTGGTCCTGCTAATGATCAAACTATATATCTTAGACCAACTTCAATCTCAGAACTAATGGAAATTTGTAGCTCTTTCAGCTCTAAAAAAGCACCTGGCTACGATAATATTCCTATGCACCTTATCAAGAACTCTGTTGAATTTATCATTGTACCATTAATGAACATCATTAATTTATCTCTTGAAACGGGAGTTTTCCCCGAGAAATTAAAAATGGCCAAAGTAATTCCTATTTTCAAAGCTGATGACCCAGAATCTTATAAAAATTATAGACCTATATCTATCTTATCAAATTTTTCTAAGTTTTTCGAAAGAGTAATGCATACTCGTTTATCTGAATTTGTTCAGAAATACGAAATTCTGTATTGTTATCAATTTGGTTTTCGTAAAAACCATTCAACAGATCTAGCGCTTACTCACCTGGTCAATATGATTACCTCATCTATTGATGAGGGCGGAGTCACTGCCGGTGTTTTCTTAGACTTGTCTAAAGCGTTCGATACTATCAATCATCAAATACTCTATTATAAATTGGAACGTTATGGCATTCGTGGAGTTGCATTGCAATGGATTAAAAGCTATTTTGAAAATCGAAAGCAATTTGTTCAATATAACAACGTTTCATCTTCGGTAAACACCATCACCTGTGGTGTACCACAAGGCTCCATATTAGGACCATTGTTTTTTATCCTTTATATCAACGACCTCCCGAATGCTTTAAACATAACTGAATCATTATTATTCGCAGACGACACCAGTATATACTATTCTCACACTGACCCTATTTCACTGATCAATGTTTTGAATGACGAATTAAGAAATGTTGACCGTTGGATGAAAGCAAATAAACTCTCAGTAAACATAACTAAAACTAACTATATCATTTTCAAATGAAGGAATAAAAATTTTTGTACTGATATACCTGTTATTTTTTACGGAAAACCATTAATGCAAAAGAAAACTGTTAGGTTTCTTGGAGTTCATATTGACGAAAACCTTACATGGAAATCACACATTAGTCATGTATGTAAAAAGATCTCCAAGTCAATTGGAATATTATTTAGATCTCGTTTTTATCTGTCTAAAAAACTAAAATATTCTTATATTATACTTCGATCTATCCCTATTTGACCTACTGCAACACTACGTGGTCTTCCACCTACAAAACTAATTTAAAACGAATATTTGTCTTGCAAAGGCGAATTGTCCGAATTTTGACTAACTCTGAATTTCGTGCGCATACTGCGCCGCTGTTTAATGAACTCAAACTTCTCGACATTTACAATTTAAATGTGTTTTATACCGCAAAATTCATGTTCTCATACCACAACCATTTACTTCCACCATCATTCCAAAACTTATTCGTTACTTCTTACCAAATACATAACTATAATACCAGAAATGCAAGTTCATACCGTTCCTATGCATGTAACACTAATGTTTACCGCTCTTTTTCAAGATCCTAAAATTTGGAATTCTTTACCTGACGACATAAAAAATACAGAATCTTTCAATTGCTTTAGGATTGGAATTACCGGCTTTTCAATGAGTAATCTCAGACTTTACTTCTCATTTTTACTACGGTTTATTCTATTTATGCTGTCCGTTCAATAATCTATATAAAGAGGAGTCATCCCTTGTACAAGCCATTATGCTTCTGGATGCCTCCTCGTCACTTCCAATATTTATTTACTTCCATTGTATCAAGTAATGTTTGTGGGTTTTTTTTGTTTTTTTTGTATCACCCAATGTCTGTACATTATTTAATTATTGATTTATTTTGTGGCAAATAAAGAGATTTAGATTTAGATTTGTTAACAAGACTGGGACTTCGGCGGTTCGGGACTTTGACGAGTGTTTATACGACTGTCAATGATATCGACTGTCGCCTGTTTTAAAAGGCGTTATTTGAATTAGGGAAAGAAGATCTTCACGTCAAGGCATTAGAAAGTTTGTCGACGTACACTCGATATAAAATTACTACTAATACTAGCACAACAACACGTGCGTTTAAACTCGTGTTTTGCGTGGTGAGTATCTCATTTCATATTCACCGGATGTGACACACGCTGCAAATTGTGTCACTGATTGTTACCGGTGACCCTGGTGGTTTACGAAACGGAAAATTGTGTCGCGTCCTGCTAGCTAAAAGTCCCTAATAGACATGTACAGTTAAACAGCTCTGCAGTACCTATACATATATAAGCTTACCTTGATTTTGTAATTTTCTTTAGAGGACTATACTGAAGAATCGCTTAACCTCCACGAGCACCAAATTGGTGTTCTGCGAGGTTACTACGAAGACAATAAGGGAATTTTCAAATTAGTTGAAAAACGTGAGATGATGTGGAGGCGATTGATGGAGTTTGAGGTAAAGTGAGCAGGCCTACGATCCTTGAAATTCCTGGAAATTCCTCAAATTTGAAAATTTGGTTCTGGGGGCAATTGTGTTGATAATAATACAACTAAGATTCTGTAGGTCCATTCATAGATCCTTGAATTTATTAGAAAAAATTCCTGGAAACAATACAGAAGTTCTCGAATTTCATTTTTACTGGAGGGTGCATGGGAGCGTAGAATAAGATGTTTCAATGATTTTATACTAAATTTATTTAATATTTACTTATTTATTTAATTTTAAATTATATACCAGAATGCGATAATCATTTTAATCGTACCTGACTGGTACGCCAATGATTGTTGCCGCGTACTTGCGCTAGAACAAACTTAAGACTCGAGGTGTACTTAGTCTTTATGCAAAAAGTACATAAAGAACAGGTTTCTGTAAAGTATATTCAAACTACTATACAATCGACCTCAACATGCCATAGTGCTATCAGTCCAATCGTTTTTCATGCCAAGACATGTCAGACTTACATGCATATACCAATTAAATAACGGTATTGAATACCTTGGGCAGTTGGGCTTGGAGTACTTAGTACTTAACGCGAATTATCGCACCCTGTATACAACTTGCTGATATACATGAAATAATTGCTCGATTCTGATTGGCTACGAACATTGTAATTTTATCGTTATTGTAATACGTAGCAAATACATGCCCAAACGAAAGACATTTTTATTCGCTTTTTGACTTCTGACAGTTGTAATATTGTATTAAGTTGGTGTGTCATTCAAAAGAGTGAGTAAATCTGTTTCGTGCATCGTATGCATACAAGTAATACCAGAGGAGGGTGAAAATAATGTGTTTTTTCTTTTTTTTAAGAATAAAGAAAATGATCCTGCCAGACTGTTCACCAATCGAGGTGGGGCTTTACTTAAAGAACTGAAAATGAAAAATGCCGTAGAAAAAGGTCTGCCTAAGGTAATCATCAAGGATTTAGGGGAGCTTCGTTGACTGAGTTAAACTGAAATAAACTGAATGATTCTATTGTATGTATTTCTACCATACTGTAGATACCTATTCAATATCAGTACTGTAATTATGAATGATTACGTTGGAGGTTCCGTAAAATCCAGTATACTTCAACCTTTAGTGGGTCAGTACGTATATTATTTCAGGAGAAACCAAACTAAACTAACAGTATTTATACTGGACAACTCTGTCAGTTCTAAACTGTGCACTATGTAGGGTAGAAGTCAAGTAAGGCCTATACTTTCATATTTCTGTGAAACATGTATGTCTAACTGAAAAACAGTGAAGATTCTGGCCGATGTTTATTATATTGTAAAAGAACAATGCAACTGTCAAATCGAGCGTTATTCTGCTTTGAAAATTACGCAGGTACGCTTAATCCTCGACACTGCATGTACATAGAGAAAACGTGTGACATTTGGTAGAGTCAAACGGGAAACAAACTTTTCACGTGCAACCACGATCGGAAATTGCGTCCACAAATTCACACCTCAGATGAGCTATCTTAACTAAGCATGCGCATGTTGTATTCATGCGGACGTGTACTGAATATTAATGAGGTTAATTACTAAATTATTTGATGATTCAAGCTTAAACTAAGAACACTTTAAACTTAAGGTATAATTTGAGTCGTATTATGTTACAACCAAGTCAAAGTACAGTATAGCAAAACTAAAAGCGTTAAGATTCTTGACTGAGTCCACGATTGGATGCAATGAATGGTCAGCGATATGCCCATTTTTCTGTGCAATTTCTGGTTGTTCATGAGGTAGATATTAGATACAACAGGCATGAAACACGCAGAACTGAACGCGTGAAAAACTTACAAGTCTGCCACCATAGGCATTCGCGACAGGGGGCTTGGGGATGCTGTACCCCCCCCCCCCCAACAATCAGTGTGTAGTGGGATAGATTCTACTAAAAAAGTCGGGAAATTGGCTAGGCCTGCTCGCCTCGGTATAATGTATTTTGATTTAATGTGTATAGTAAGAGAAACTTAGTGACAGATTGAAATTTGTTTAATTAAATTCGAATTACGTGCAGTAGAGTGAGGAGTATTTGACGTATCTTATAGTATATATTTTATATCGTTTTAAGATTGACTGTATTTCCACGCGTCATGTATAGGAGATCTGGTCCTTGTATTTATACTTTCTATTCATCTATCAATAAACCCATGATAATGTCGGGCAATTTCCATCAATGCATGTCGGGCAATTTTTGTCCGCCCCTCCCCCCACCCCCCTAATTTTTACCGCCCGTGCGCCTTATGCAACACTAATATCCCCGTTTAATTGTTTCTAGGTCGAACAAGATTTGAAGAGAATGATTGAAGTATGGCAAGAAGAAAACGAAGGCTTCTTCTTTGTGAATGGAAATAAATATTTGGACCTGATAAAAACACAGCAGGAAAACCGAAAAAGAGAAAAAAGTTTGTTAAAATTAGGAAAGGTATATAAATATTATCATTTTTACACATGATAACGAACGGCCACGAAACACGCTGTTTTCCCGAGATCTCAGAAAATAAGTGTTTTCTTATATAGCATTAACCATATATTTTATTCTATACTGACTTTGTGCTCGTTTTTGTGCAATAGTATAATTATATAATAATATAATATCTTCTTCTGAACACTTACAAACCGACCAACAAACATGTTGAAACTCCCCTGAAAAAACTTTGAATTTGTCGGTTGGGGCGAACAGCAACCTCTTACCCAGGGCATTTCCTTTTGGGGAGCAAAGACCCTGGTAGACGCTGGTCACGTGATCTGCTAAAATCTAGCAGATTTCTAATTAACTATCTTGGTTTTCTTTACGACAATGATACAAAATGCAAATTATAAATTAAACTATCAAAATAATCCAGATATCAAATGTTTATTGACCTGATCTTGGATTGCTAATTAAAAATCTGCTAGATTTTAGCAGATCTCGTGACCAGCGTCTACCAGGGTCTTTGGCGAACAGCTCGCGCCTCCGTTCCAGTTTTATCATTGACCGCTCAATAATTGTTTCATTGTTACCAAAGCATGATGCAATGAACATGACATTTTGTGGACTGGCACGTGATACGTTTTGTCCAATCAGCACACAGGAAAATTTAACTTTGTTACTTGCTAAAAATGTCACTTGCTAGTTATTTCAATTTCCTTTATAATGCAACTGTAGGAAAATCACGGTGCGAGATACAACGGCCATGCATGAAAATGGTATTGGTCATTGCATTGTTCAATAATTTTCTAATTTTTCAACATAATTTTATAGCAAAAGGAAAAGAAGGCAGAAATCGCAAAGGAAATGGTTTATGGCAGCAAGCCAGTTGCACTAGCAAACAGGTACTGCATGAAATTCCAAACCTTATAATTTGTAAGTCAAGTATATTAATCATAGGAATTAATTTGCTGGAGGCGCCACATATAATATAATTTACCAGATGACTTAACTAAGGCCAATTAGCAATTTTCAAACGGTCGTTTTAAAATTTTGCTTGATAAATATTTTTACGAATTGAATGTCCGAAATCTGCTCTAATTCCTCCTTTTTAACGAGAATAAGGATTCGTTCTTAAAATTTAACTAGAGTGCATGTATTTGACGTTATTTTCATTGTATTTTTATATACCTAGATTAGTTTGTAGTTTGAAAAATTAAATTGTAAATAATTAATGTCCCTTATAGATTGTTAAAGATCTTATTAACACTGTATTTTGCTACTTCAAACTACATAGCTCGAACCCCCTTCTTCAGGGGGGGGGGGACCATCTCAAGAACAAAAAGGGAAATGAAACATTTGTTGTAATAATGAGAGATTACTGAATAGGGGTGGGTTGGTTTAAAAAAGAGGGATGACCAAAAATCCTGTGATAATAATTACTGAGTAAGGGGCTGTTTACATGAGCCCGGCTAGCCGGGATGAGACGTTTGCCGGGCTGATATGCATGCTGACGAAAATTGGCGGGAAAAACTTGTTTACGAGTTAACAGTGTAACGTCTGTCACGGAAGTCGAATTTGTGCTTTATTGGCAAATTTAATCGATTAAAACTACTTTGTCAGCAAGATTAATGGAAGAAATAAAAGTTTGTCAAGAAAAATATCAGTTTCTGTAAATTCTGTCTTTTATTTTTGTTTTAAATGAAGTTTTTGTTCTAGCCCGGTTGCCCGGGCTGGATACTTTACATGGAGAAATTTCATCCCGGCTGACCGGGCGCCCCGTTTGAGTCAAGTGGGATCCCAGCTAAACGGGCTGGCCCGGTTTGTCATGTAAAGTAAAATTGCTTTGTGTTGGAAATTACTATGAAGCCGGGCGCCCCGTTTAAGCGAGCCAGCCCTGCAAACCGGGCTCATGTAAACAGCCCCTAAGACGTTTATTCAAATTGTAGAAAATCAAGACCGAATTTCTTGATGATGGAAGTTTTTTTCGATACTACATACAGTTAGCCAAAATAATTGGCATCTTACTCGTTTGAATTTTTGTTGAAGGGTATTGTAGATGGAAATTATCGAGTGAAAATTTATATACATTTATTAGACCTAGCCAGGAACAGCTCTGAAACAGTTGTCGTATAGTTTTGAAAACAGGGGGACATTGGTAAAAGGGTGGTGGCCCAATTTAAAAAGGGAAGATAATACCCCATTCCAAACTATGAAGATCTTTGGGGCCTTTCTGGCCGCTAGAAAAGGCAACTGTGATGAAATAATGCTCAAACGGCGTCGCGAAACGCCGTTACAGTATAACAAAAAGTCTACGTTTATTTATTTTTTGTATAATTAGGGCTGGCAAATATAACTCTAAATATCCGAATCATTGCAAAAGAAAACGTGATGACAAGGTAAAATTAATTAATTTGAAGTGTCATTCCAGAGACGTTTTGCAACGTTTTCTAGCTCAGTTCTATTATTACTCTTACAGTAATTAGTGTATACAGCATTTGTGGCCGTGTTTGCAGATATAGTTACAAGAGAGTTCAAGACGCGGTCTGAATTTCAGCTAAAAAAATTCGGGGCCTAAGCAATTTGATTACTGTGATAATGTTTCATATAACCTTAAAAATGGCTAAGTTCGGTTAAAGCGATGCAATCTTTGCTGCAATTTCGACTAAGTAAACGCCTCGTGTGCAGGGCCGCCAAGAGGGAGGGGGGGGGGGGATTGCCCCGGGGCCCCACCTTAATAGGGCCCCAACTTGAGAGCGAAAGCATAAAATATAGTATGTTCAGGCTTTAAATTGGGCAGAGCATTTTTGAAATTGACCCCCTTAAATTGGGCCCCTTACAATAGCTCTACATGCAGTCACTCTAGCTAAGGTCTAGTTGGGTAACTGACTTCGGCCTAGCTTAAAAATAATGATGTCAAGGGGCCGCCAGAGAGGATTTGCCCCGGGCCCCACAAATTCTCTCGACGGTCCTGCTGCGTTAGGCCAAAAAAATATATGTGGGTTTCCGGTTTCCCGACCCTACTTAGTCAAAATCCCGACCCTAAACTTTTTTATTGGATCACGCTTGTAAGTGTTTCCACTTAGAGGAAAACGTTTATGGAAAATGAAATTTTGAGGCAATATTAGGGAAATTTATGTTTGGATATGGAAGCACCGACTAAACAAAATGACGTCCGGTTGTTAGGAAAATGTAAAAAAAGTTTAAAAAAAAAGTTAAAACCGACCTACCCTACCTAAGTTTTTACAAGAGGAAACCGGAAACCCACATGTTTTTTTTTGCCTTACTTGAAAGACAATGCTTAGTTTAACGTTGTGTTGAGAATGACAAAGCCGTTGAGAATACCCCTGGACCGCAAATTATTCACAGTTTTTGTCTTCATACTTTCTCAAAATATCAAGACCTTGGTTTGATATTTTCCCATACAGCGCTAAACGTTTCGGACAGTTTGAGTGTCCATCCTCATGCTCTTTCTTCAATCAAACTATCCGAAATGTACAATATTAAATCTTGAACCTCTTATGTTATTATCCTTGAGAATTGAAACAAATTGATGTTAAGATGATGGCTTTCATAAACAGAAATTGCAATTCACAATTTATCTGACGTGCCCAAAAGAGAATACACTACTGTAGTTTGTCAAACCATATTTTTTCCTAATTCGAGCCCTGTGGTTTCAAAATTTGTAATTTTCTTCTCACATGGAATATCCCTGGAAGTATATTTTTGGACACCTGTTTTAGAGACTGCCTGGCATTTATCACTCTTGTTCGAATTTTAGAATAGTATCAAAAGAAGAAAAACTAAATGGTCAAGTGAATCGAGCTAACGCATGTTTAGACCCAATGCTATGCGCAATTTACTCAAAAACTACAATTTTAAATGCTTGGTTGTCTTTGGTCTATTCTTTAGTGATAAATTATTATATTGTATTCGTTTTTTCCTAGAGTGGTTCATCTACAATTTCAATGACGTCATCATCAAGCCTGCTGTTATCCCAATGCAGCAGTCCTACCCCTGTTTCCACTAATTTTAAATGTAAAAAGGTACATGCTGACAGTACATTAACTTTTATCATGTTTAACACAGTCGCACCGCCATCTTCCAGTAATTGTTTCTAAATTATTACAAGATGCGAGTTCAAATTTTCAGCCGTACTTATACTCATAGACGGATTTTGTGGGGGGGTGCAGGGGGGTGCTACCCCTCCAATATTAGCTATAACCCCCCCAAACAAAATGTCCACCCCACCAAAAAAAATTTCAACCCCCCCCCTAATATTCGGCATAATAAAAAATAATTAAATAGTCCACTCCAACGTGCAGAGTGTTGATGATACAAAATAAACGTAGGAGTACACTCAAATAGAAAAAGACGGTGCAATACTCTGAAACTAATTGCTCCTCGCTTGCATTCACTGGTTTATTGGACCAATTGTAAAGTTTTGAAACTCTATTATCTCCCCTGAACAGAGTTTGCAGTGCCTTGCCATGCAAATAGCTTACTTGCAAGGAACGTTTGGAATTTTTACGAACATTATTTTTAGTTTTTAATTCTTTTAGGAAATAGACTTGCCTAGATTTAATCTTTACGCCCCAAATATTATTTACATCGGAGTTGCATCATAAATTGTACTCGGATTCAAACGACACAATGTCAATGACTTTATAAAAATAAAAGCATATTGCATGTGTATTGGCCTATTGGGTTTACACTTTTACAGGTTCATTTAACTTTAACTCTCTCAAGTCTCAACAGACAATCGGACATGCCAAATCCATTGATATGACAACTTCAAAAAACTTTTTCGAAGCTAGAAATCATGATTTTTTCAATTTTTCCTCGGATACTTTGTTTTCTGCTCTCTAGACTCCCCTCGCGGCTCTATAGTGCTACACCCCTAGAATATAGACCTTACTGGGGTTTGGTGACACTTTGTGTTGCTTCAGTCACCTGCTCACGGCTCACCCCCCTAAAATTTCTGGCACCACCCCAGTAAAAAATATGAAAATCCGTCTATGCTTATACTTAACAAATATAAAACATTTTCCGTGTTGATATACAGTTATATCAACACGAGTGGGAATTTGGAAAACGAGAAATTGTGTGGAAACACGACGCCCGAAGGCGGAGTGTTTTCACACAATTTCGAGTTTTCCCAATTTCCACGAGTGTTGATATAACTGTATATCAATACGGAAAAAATGTTTTATATTTTTTTAATATTTTTTTTTATAATATTTTTTACAAAGAAATATAAAGAAAAAAATTTCCGTGTTGACATTGGGTTATATCAACACGGCTCTTAGCCAATCAGCGTTCAGAATTTACAAATGCTATATTATAAATATACATAGATATATTATTCAGCTCACTCCCCAACGGGGCTCTCCGATTACTGCATTACATCAAGATGACGTTACTTGTATTATGTACTTAGCCTACACGCGTAAAAATTAGGGGCCTGCTGTTTAACAGGATTGGACAATGTTGTACGGCCCACATTGTTCACAGTTGTCAACAATATTGTTCAATATTGTTGACAACTGTAAACAATGTTGGGCCGCACAACATTGTTCAATCCTGTTTTCATCAATATTGCAACAACCTGATCGTTTTTAGCTGTGTAGACTAATTATCTTTACAACAATTATGATACTATTTTCCTAACTATGTTTATCCTAATCCACCCTGTCAACTTTCCCTGTGGGAGGAAACCCGAGCGGCCGGCGAAAACCCACGACTTTCGGCAGAGCGTTGACTGACTCTTTTCACATGGTCTCGTAGTGTGAATCAAACCCACGTTCTCAGAGGTGAAGGCGCTTGCTTTGACAACTGCGACTGATGCCCCTTCACTGGTACGCTAATTCGAGCGGTTCAGATTTGTCTTCCAATACCGCTTCAACATCGTACAAAAGGCTTCCGTGATTGTAGCTCTCAGAAGCCCTGGGTACGAGGTTGCTACTGGCTTAGTACGCATCATCCTCGTCCCCAGGGCCTCTCGGCCGCGCGCGTCCTCCCTAGGCCCTGGCCCCTTGGACACACGGAAAGCAAACTTGCAGTAGTTTCTAAAGCGCATGCTCTTGAATTGGGATGTTTTAGCACCCGTAACAATTTTCACAGTGAAGTATTTACGAAGAAACGAAGTATTTGTGTTGACATATGTTGATAGAATAATTTTGCCTAGCGAAAACTGCTCCACTTTTGCGAAATAGCTGTTCTCTGAAAAGCCAATCAGATCTCTCCCTTTAGTCGTCTAACCCAGAACCTAATTTTTAACGAGTGGCCGAGTGAAAATGGCTCTGGGGACGAGAATGAGTACGCATCTGAATGGTTAATGGTCCCTTAATGGTAGCGGTAGCAGTAGTGGTCTCTTATTACAACCTGATTCCCAAGGTCTTTCTAGTAGAAATAGCTTAAGTACATACATGTAGCACAAGTTTTCTGAATGCCGCTCATTTAATAACCTTGAAACTACGAGTTAGAACACGCACATTCCCATATGTATACATTTCCATATACTGTTTTTTCACTACGCGTATTAATGAGACCAGGTTCTCATTTTTTACTGATTCTCTTATACTGTACTATTCTTTCGTTTACAGAAAACCAGGAATTCTAGACGTCTTTCCTCCAAAATCAAAAAACATCCATTTCCACTTCCAGCCTTGAAAAGGTATTATACGCTTCCCCGTGTGCACTCAGAAAACACTCCGCTTAAAATTCTCTTGGTTAACCCTAAAAATATCCTGGTTAAATGTTTTTCTTCGCACCACTTGTGCATTTGAATTTAATTCCATCGGACTCAGTATAAAAATTACAGTTTAATGAACTACAACTACGATACGAATAGTATTTTTAGTGATTGGTTTTATACGAGATGTTATACAGGGTGTATCAAAAAATGTACACACTTTCAAATTAGCCATAACCTTTTAAATATTTATTGCTCTGCAGTAAGCTGACCCATTGTATATCTTATGCAGACTTGAATAATGCTTAATTTAAACACTTTTCTTTGAGTTGTGTATTTGTTCATACAAATAGAAGTTATCCTAAATTCTCATGTGCAGAAGACCTTGTATTTTCACGCATTCATTAATTCGAGAAATTATACGGCTGTCAAATCACTACGATAGATTACGATTAATTTGAATTTGAAAGGGTGTACATTTTTTTTATACACCTTGTATAATATAATCTAGTTAGCACTAATCAATCAAAAGCACAGGTTAATTATTTTGTCTGATGGACCAATCAGATGAAGAGCCAGATTTTGGGCGTTTTGCTTGCGGCCAGGCCATCCACCCGCATTTAAGGAAGGGAAAGCACGGCCTGATACTCAGGCTACTGTAGTCTTCCCACGTGAATCTTGCAACTACGTAATGGGGAATCAACTGTTGGATTAATTTCTTTTTATAGAGGAATTAAGGAAGACGTGGAGCAGGATACGACTAGGGAAGACGACGAGATCGACGACGATGAATCCTTGTGCAGCTACCCTGATTTTACTGTAAGTAATAGGGAGAGGCTCCTTGTCTCGTATCAGGAGAATACCTACAGATTTCGGCACAAACCGCTCTGTACCAGATACAGTTTTGTCGGATACCTAATGGTACTGGATCGTTGTATACCGGAAACCGGATTCCAGATACCAGTAAAGGTGGTACTTGGACAATACTTCGCTATTTTTCCCACAATAGTGTAGTCCATTGTTTTACGTCGGTATTCTAAACGCTCACTCGCACTCAATGAGTGCACTCTAAAAACACTCTGGTTAAATTCAACCAGGAACTGGATCAATAAACTACCTAGCACATTCCTGGTTAAATTAACTGATTTCCTGGTTAAAAATTATTGATTCAACAAAAATCTTGCCATACTTCTTTGGACTTTTAACCAGGAAAATGGTTTAATTTTTTTAACCAGGATTGTGTAGGTGGATTTTTAACCACATCCTGGTTGAATTAACCCAAATTTAACCAGAGTGTTTTTAGAGTGTGGAGGTTCAATCTGAGCTTCTATTGAGTGTTAATGCTGTTTTTGAATAGCTGGACGGTGAGTAGTCGCATAGTAAGGTACGACACTAACCCTCCAGCTATTCAAAAAATAACAATGACCCTCGAGAGTGGCTCAGATTGAACTTCCACTTATTGAGTGTGAGTGAGCTTTCAGAATACGGGCGTTAGTGTGTCTTTTATGATTATATTTTAATAATCATATACCGGGTGGGGCAAAAAAAAGTACGACAGTTTGATTTACTATAACTTAAAGAGCTATTACACTTAAATAAGTCACCGTATATTCCACGATGTTTAACTTAAATTTTGATATATGTCTTGTACCTCTTCATGCAATATTGACTGATATAACTGTGTTTAAACTTAAGCAAACATTTTTGGAACCGCCGAGAATTAGCTGAAAAGGCCCTATTAAAACCAATAGATGATTCCCCTTATTACGTTTTCGTAGCGTTTTGCATTGTGGTTATAGTGGTATCACTGATAAAGATAGCGGCCTCGAATGAAAATATTGAATGTTTTCGTAAATATTTTGCTGTTGGCTATCGTGCACCTGACCCTAGTATTTTTAAAAGTTCTTGCACAGGTCAGGACAAAAATAAGGCATCTTGAATATCAGTGATACCACTATAACCACAATGCAAAGCGCTACGAAAACGTAATAAGTGGAATCATCTATTGAATAACCTTTACCATTTTCTCGCGATTATTGTTTCAATAAGTGGATTGGTTTGACGAGGTCAGTTGTTCTGGGTCCACAATTTGTTTAAAGAAATCTCGACACGAGAGAGTACTTCCAGTTGATTGGGACAAGCCTATGTGCGATTCAAATAACCCTGGTTCTGAAGCACAATTTGAGAGAGCTTCGTGAAGAGATTGTTACAGCATACCGCAACTTGAAACAGCAAGTGATCCAAAATTCTTTCGATTGTATGATTTCACGGGCAAGGCGTTGCATTCGTGCTGGGGGACATGCATTTACTGATGAATATAGACGATTGTTTTTGAACCACAAGCGTGAATTCGTACTGACAATAAAGTATAATGCGTCTTAATACATGTTATTGCATGTTGTATATACTAAGGGAAGCCTCGCATATCGATTTTGTCCACGAGAAACGTCATATGTTCGTTTCTCTGGAGACCCCCCCCCCACCCCCCCTTAGAAACGTCACACATAGTTATCGATATTTTGTTCTTATAGTACACACAAGGTAATTTTCTACTATTTTTTTCGGTCGGCTATTGGCGATGCTTCCGCGAGGAATATGTCATCTTCTGCTGACATACTCTTTTTTATTAATATAAGATGAACTCCAAAATTTCCAACGTTTCTCAAAACAACTTTTTTTGCATGAAATATTGATAATTTTAGCGCGTTTTTTTTTTTTTTTTTTAATTTGAGTGTTTTCAATGCAAGGAAGGTGTAATAATATAAATGTATAGGTATAGAACAGGTATGGATTACGAATATATAGACTGCTGTTTGTATCAAATTGTTTTCTTTTTTATATTCTGCAAAGATAAAAACTATCGAATTTTTCCATGATGTTTACAGAGAAACGTCACAGCTGCCAAGCCCCCCACCCCCAAACGAACATATGACGTTTCTCGTGGAAAAAATCGATATGTGAGGCTTCCCTTAAATATTTAATAAGCCATTTTTAGCTAATTTCGTCAGTTCCAAAAATGCTTATTCCTGTTTAATTAAATTAATGTATCTTTGACAATATTGCATGGAAATGTGCATGGCATAAATCAAAACTTAAGTTGGATATCGCTGAATGCCAATAAACTTGTGAAGTGTCATTGCAATTTTAGTTTTGATTTTGCAGCAATTCAAACAGTCGTACATTTTTTTGCCTCACCCGGTATGTTTTTTTATATTTTTAAACTTGAAACAAAAAAGTATCACTTTTAGTTTACTAAATATCAATTTCTCAAATGCATATGATATAGGTATATGTTATTATGCGTAATATAAAGCTTCACTTTTTGTCTTTAATGTAAAAAGTTCGCTTCGCAAAACGATTTAACATGCACATAAAGCTAAAACTGCCTTTTATCGATAAATTTTGAGTTTGATATAAAATTATTTCATCGAATTAATTCATTTAAATATATAAAATTATTTCATCGAATAAAATTAAGCAATTCTCTCATGAAAACCACTTTGTTTAGGGGCGCACCATTTGATTTTTGAGGGGGGAGGTGGAAGATTCAGTCTGTGCAAGAATTTTTTTTCCGCCCAGGCGAACGAGACAGATATTTTTTTCCTGTAAAAGTGCAGCGCAAGATATTTTTTTCCCAATATATTTGGCCGCAGGATATTTTTTTTGCCTCTTATAATAACGGCTTACAGTAACTTTAGGCTTTCATATAGCTATCATCGGAGACGTAGCAGGGGTTTTCAGTCAGAGGAGGTCGAGAACTGAATCCCAAGAGGGGCCAAGGAATTTTCACTGTGCTTTATTTTATATATGGTTATGTCTTAATGTTCCCCACACTAAAGCGTGCAAGTTTACTTACAAAGAATGTATAACTGCACCAAAACCTAAAACATGCAGGGATAGAGTAGAGTACTCGAAAATGGGGGAGGGTACAGTAAATGAATGACCTGTAACCTTGGGGGGTTCGGGGGCATGCTCCCCCGAGAAAATTTTAAGATTTGAACCTCGGAAATGCTATTTCCTGCGTTTTCAGCCATGGATAATTATCTTAAGCCAAGATTTTCTCAGGGGGAGGGCAACAATTTTGCCAGGGAACACCACTGGCTATCGTATGTCAGAGGCTCCAAAAGCGGTAGAATCCCTGTGATGTTATCCACTGTTCACCCCGTGTTCTTTTAAGCAAATGTGCCTGCTCAAAAATGCAAAATCTTGCAAGCCTGTGGACACAATACTGAAGTGAAGAGCATCTGTAGAGTTACATGTAGAAAATTTTTTTTTGAGCGCTCTCTTTTGCATGATATTTTTTTTCTGGATTGTGTGCTGCATGATTTTTTTTTTCTTTCTCCTTGGGTTGCAGGAAATTTTTTTTCGAAATCTTCCACCCCCCCCTCAAAAGTCAAATGGTCCGCCCCTTA